GCTCTAGGCGCTCGGCAGCGTGGGTGTGCCGGCAGAGGCGGACCTGGTCACCCGGCCGAGGTTGACGAGGCGATTCGCGCCAGCTCGAGCTCCCCGCTGCCTGTGGCCGCCGCCTGCGTGGTGGTTGGGGCGGGCATCGGCGCGCAGCGCGGCGTCGCATACCAGCACCGGCTGCGCGCGGTCGTGCTATACCTGGTGCTGACCTGCGCGGACCTCGGCTGCGGCGCGAGGCTCTCCGGCAACGTCGCCGCCTTCCACCCCCGCTTCTCTCTTCCCTGTGTCTTCGCGCCCTCTGCCGTCGGCTTTGCCCTCATGGCGAGAGCCGTCGGGCTCCGTGCCGCAACCGCAGAGGACGACGAGGGCGTCGGATACGCACCCTGTCCCACCGATGCCCCGTAGCACGGCGGCGCACGGATCGAGGTGGCAACGTTCCGCTTTTGCCACGAGGGGGGTGTCAGCGTAGAGGGGGGTGTCTCAGTGCGTAGAGGGGGGTGGGATAGCGTAGAGCACTGGGATAGGGGGGTGTCTCAGTGCGTAGAGGGGGGTGGGATAGCGTAGAGCACTGGGATAGGGGGGTGTCTCAGTGCGTAGAGGGGGGTGGGATAGCGTAGAGCACTGGGATAGGGGGGTGTCTCAGTGCGTAGAGGGGGGTGGGATAGCGTAGAGCACTGGGATAGGGGGGGTGTCTAGGGGGTGTCTCGTGTGCGAGAGGGGGGTGTCCTGCCCCCCCCCCCCCAGTCGCCCCACTTTATACTTGTTTTGCACACTTCCCATCTTATCAGGCGCCCCTCAACCTAGCAGCCAACAGCGTCCAAGCAGTCTGGCTGCTTCGCGCCTTTTTTGCGCCATCATAAAAAGTGCGTGTAGAGGATATGACGCCGGCGTCTGCGTGCGTCTCCGGCGGAGACGGCAGTGGCAGCGGCGCCGGCGGTGGCAGAGGCAGCGGGGCGCCGGCGATAGCCTCAACTGAGCACTGAGCACTGGGATAGGGTCGATTCTGCATGGTACGGGCTAGGGTACGGGACCCCTCGCCGATCGTCTCGCCCTCCCTCGCTGGTGTGTGTTCATTGGGGGGTCATAACAAACACGGCAAGAAACACGGTACAGGATCGAGGTGCACGCTGCTGAAGCAGTGTCGCCCCCCCTCTCCATCGTCTCGACTCAAGTATCCTATGGAACTTCACTCGCCTCGGACCAAAGACTCGCCCTCACGGACCGGCATGATCGGGTTCGGGAGACTCTCGAACGCTCTCTGCAGATGCACGGTCCTGGGATCGCATACGATTACCGTCTCGGGACGACCCGAAACGACCCTACATTGTCGACATCGAACAAACCTCTTCGCCGTTAACACGGCACAGCGATGGCCAGGAGGCGGCTGACGCGAAGGATGACATGTTGTCTGCTTCTGCGAGGACGTGAGGCGCGCAAGCTTGTGCTCTGCAAGCTTGTGCTTCGCTCGCTAGGACGTTCGCTAGGAGGAAGCCTGCGAGCACGACGCGCGCGAGCTCCTCCGCCGTGCCACACAGCAGAACGACTACGAGCCGCGCACCGGCTACTCGCTCGACCTCGAGGTGGACGGCCCGTTACTTCCTGCTGCCCGACGGCCGGGGGGTCTGGGCAAACACAGCAGGTCCACGCTGCTCAAGCGGCGCGCCTCCTCGCGGCGGCCGGCTGGAGGATGATCAGCGTTCCATTCTTCGAGCGGGATGGCGGATGGGAGAAGCAGAAAGATTTAACCGCCCGGCTGAAACCGCCCCGCCCCGCCTCGCCCCGCCCCGCCCTGCCCTGCCCGGCCCCCCCCCCCCCCCCCCCCCGCGCGCGCCTCCTTCGCGCAACAGAGGTACCCCAGCCCTCCACTACCCTTGGTGCTCCGATGCAGGTAATGTGTGGCGCTGTCTCTCAAGATGGAAGCAGGAAGCTTCCCCATACCGGCGGTGGTTCGAATCCACGTGAGCCGAAGGTGAGGGGGAGAACCGTCCGAGGTCTGAAGCTCACCCATTGAGGAAGTGAGGGACTGCTCGGCCCACCCTGATCATGCTGACCAAGTTCCTCTTGTAGCTCGATCGGTCACACCGCTATCGCCGTCGGGGAGAGGGGGGACGACACTGCTTCGGCAGCGTGCACCTCGATCCTGTACCGTAGTTGTTATGACCCCCCCCCGATGAACACACCAGTGAGGGAGGGTGAGACGATCGAGGGGTCCCGTACCACGCGGAATCGACCCTATCCAGTGCTCAAGTGCTCAACGAACGAGCAGGGAGGTAGATCTATCTATCTTGCTTGGAAGGACGATCAGGGGCACAGGGGAACGGGAACGGTGAGCGCATCGCGACACGGTGAGGATCGCCTTCAAGAAGAAGAAAAAACAGCCGAGGCCCATCTTCTCATGCTCTAGATCGCTGATCGCCAGTCCGTGAAGCCCAAAGCTCGTTGCCCACGGCCAAGCGACCTGGGCCGCCGATGATCAGTCCGACAGAAGCGCTGCCGGACGATGAGGCGCCGCTCTCGCCTCAGCAAGTGAGTTCGTGGCGCGATCAGGGGTTTGTGCTCGTGCAAGGCTTGGTGCCCGAGGAGCTGGTCTCAGCCGCACAGGAGGAGATGGCTGCCACGCCGCCAGGGCCACTCACTCGTGGGCTGATGCTCCCGTCCTCGTCCGACGCGCTCAACAAGATTTCGACCCATCGGAGGCCGCGCTCGGCCGTCCGCCAGCTGCTCGGCACGGGCAGCCTGACGCTCCTGCAGAGCGAGGCGTGGAGCAAGTCTCCGGCGCCATCGTGGCTGCCCGACCCCAAGCTCTCTTACTCCAACAGCGACCAGAGGATGCACATGGACTACCCCAATCACTACCTCACCCACCCGGCGCCGTGGGACTCGCCAGAGGCGGTCGCGGCCATCCTCTACTTCGACCACGAGGAGGAGTGCGGAGGTGCCACCAGGTAGGTGCCTAGGAACGGGCCCTCGGATGCCGCCTACGCGTGGCCTTACACGCGCATGCCTGGCGTCGGGGGAGTACCTTGGGTGAACGACCGCACTGCGGCCGAGAGGTACTTCCAGCAGCGCGATCCGGAGACGGCCCGCTTTCGCGCCGCGCTCTACGCGCGCGAAGCTGCCGTGCAGTACAGGCCAGGCACGCTGCTGCTTTACCGCCTCGACACGTGGCACCGCGGCGCGCCGCTGAAGCCAGGAGGACGGCTCTTGCGGGCGACTGAGGCGCGGTTGAGCTCGTCCTCAGCTCCAAAATACATACTCCGGCAGAACCCGAACTCGGCTGCTCGCGCAACCGCCCGCTCTCGCGGCTCGCTGCCGTCCTCTGGCAGGCAGAGGCGGCAGTTCCACGCGGTGATGTGCCGGACGTCGCTCCGCGCGTAGACCAGGTTAAGGACGCGGCGAACAGGGCTGGGAGTGCCGCCGCCGGGCCACCCGTACTGGACGCGCGAGCTGCACACGGCGGTGGCGTCGCGCTTCCCTGACGGCGCATGGGGAGATTACGGCCACTAGCGAACACCACGTTGAGATACAGGCAGAGCAGGCGGAGCGTGTGCAGGCGTGAGTGTGCTTGAGAGTGAGCCGCACTCGCATGTTGGGCACCGCACGCGAGACAGGAGCGATATGCCTAGCGATATGTAGGATTAGATGTTTCCTTTGTACTTTCGTCCCACGACCACGTGTCCCAGAGTGGGCGTGTGGGCGCGGAGAGAGCTGCAGTGTTTGTATGCGGTCTTCGGCGGCTCTCATGGTGTTACTCAATGTCCGGCGCACTTGGAGCACTTTGGAGTGCGGGCATTAAAATAACCGCACGCCCCGGGCCGGACGTAAAGAAGAGAAGAACTCCCGGTAATCCCGGCACGAGAGAACGTATCCTGCGCACGTCACCCACCTCCCTTTTCTCCAGTAAGCTGCAGTAAGCTAAAAGTACGTAAACGAAAGAAAATAAAGAACAACAAACAACAAGCTACGGAAAAAGAACACAATTTTTAGCAATACCAATGTCAAAAAGAAAGAAAAAAAGACGGAAGAAAGACACAAAAGAAAACAGCCGGTATGTTTTCTTTTCTGCTCCTATCCGGCATAGTCATGCACATGGCTCTTGTCCTCTGCACGCTCAGCTGCTCGTTGCGGCCCACCCTCTTCAGTCACGGTGGGAGTATCGCAAACCCACGTGTATTTACCGATGCATGCCGACTTCGCACCTTTGCCGTATGCTCGAGCGCCGATGAGGAAGCTGTCACAGAGCAGCGCGACATGGCAGGGAATGGCGACGATGAGCCGATGGGCGCGTTGGACTATGCGCGATTCTTCGGGACAATCGCCGGCTTCATTGCCTTCTTCTACGCCGTCGCTGCCATCTTCCCGGCCGCCGCCGGCGCCGCCACTCTGCCCACGCCTCTCGAGATTGCAGCCAAGGTGGACGCTGACTGGACCGCTGCTCACGGGACCGCCGCGCTCTCTCGGCTCTATACGCCTGGCGGGCGTGTGATCACCGCCTCTGCGGATCGGCTCGAGCCGGCTGCAGATTTTGCCGCCGCAGAGGCATCTTCGCCCACTCCTGCGGCGGTCAAACTCACTCCCCTCTGGGCGGAGAGGGAGGGTGAGGGTGTCATCCACCACCTCTTTGAGACGTGCACGGCGGGCGGGTCGTGCGGGCGCGGATACTTTCGGCTGGAGCAGGCGCGAGGGAGCGCAGCGTGGCGGATCGCGACAGACGTCTGGACGCTGACGCCGTACAAGGACCGCTGAATCTCCGAGAGTGAAAGCGGATGATGGCAGGGCTGGATTCGGGACAAGGGCGGGTAGGGTAAGTACCGACTCGTATTTGTGACGCTTGCCTCTTTCCATTAAATATCGTGTCATGCAGTAAACAACAAATCGTTCGGCCTCGCGAGTGCTATGCGACATTGTTTCTCTGTGTGTGCACTGTGGGGAGAGTGTGAGTGAGAGAGGGTGAGAGGCGAAACTTCTGAATACTACGAGGTCTGCGTCGCCCTCAGCGCTCCTCACCAACCCTTGCAGATCTTCCACTCCTCGACGACGGTGTCGCCATCCGCGCCAAGCACGTTGACGCTGCGGTGCTGGTGCGTGCTCGCGCACGAGTGGTGCGGCGCGATCCTCAGCAGCGCGCCGATCGGGTAGCGGCGAAAATCGAGCGGCGCGCCGTCGACCGAGGTCACCTCGCCGCACTCCTGCTTGAGGTTGGCGATGCGCAGCTCCGGGTTGAGCGGGAAGCAGCCGTACCCGCTCTCCTATTCGCCAATCACCACCCGAGATGACCCGAGATTGCCCGAGATCGCGGCACGCAGCCGTGCCGCTCTCCTTGCCCTGCGCGCTCGCGCCGGTCCAGCCGCAGTCGATCAGCAGCGTGTTGGATTTTGGGTAGTGGCCGACGACGCGCGTGAGCACCTGGTTGAGCAACCAGCGGAAAGGTGGTGGCTCGTTCTCGGAGTAAACTGGCCGACGACGCGCTTCGGCACCCGCACTGCGACGCTCTCGAGCCCGCACGAGCCGAGCGCCACCTAGAAGGGGGGTGAGCCGAGTCATGGGCCGAGTCATGGGCCGGGGCGAGCCGGGAGAGCCGAGGTGAGCCGAGGTGAGCCGGGGAGAGCCGAGGTGAGCCGGGGAGAGCAGCGTGTGTGCCTGGGAGGTGTCGTAGTACAAGAAGTTGCCCGGGTGCCACTCGTCCACGCCAGCGAGGTGCGGCGGAGGCACGCTGCAGGTGGGCGTCGAGCCGACCCCAATGGTGGGCACCTCGATGCCCGAAGCCCGGAGCGACTCGGCGAAGCGCGTGGTCACGTCCCGCTCCGCCTCGCCCACCGCCACTATCTCGGCGGAGCTCGCCGCGCCGTACGAGTGGCCTATTCATTAATGATCTGACTACTACTTAGTAATTAATATCTCGGCGGAGCTCGCCGCGCCGCAACGAGAGGCCTCCGTGGGTGTACAGCCCGTCGAAGCGCACCGCGGCCGCGTCGCACAGCGTGCGGACCAGGGCCACGCTCGCCGGGTCGTGCGGGTCGCAGCCGTCCCGGTGGTACCCACAATCGACGCCGAGTACGACGCGGAGCGGCGTACGCAGCAGCTCGGTGCGGGCGAGCAGGGCGGAGACCTGGTCCGCGTGGTCGACCATCACGGTGAACCGCTCGAGCCTCGAGTGCAGCGCGAGGACATCGTCCACCTTGTCGGGCGTCAGCGGCACCGCGTACAGGATGTCGTCGAAGCCGCCGTCGGCGAGGAAGGATGCCTCGGCGAGCGTGGACACGGTGATGCGCCGCCTCTCGCCGTCCGTGGCGATCTCCGCCGCCTCGAGCGTCTTGACAGTCTTGAAGTGCGGCCGTAGCGCTACACCGAGCGCCGCCGCTCGCTCGCGCATCGTTGCCGCGTTCTTCTCGAGCGTGGCGCGGCAGCAGATGAGGCAAGGCGTGCGGAGATCTTCGACACGCCTCGCAGAGAGGGTGGAAAGACAGGCCGTGAGGCCGCCTAGCACGGTCACGCTGCGCTGGCGACGGAACATCTTCGCGTCAGCAGTCAGCAGCAGTCAGCAGCAGCAGTCAGCAGCAGTCAGCAGCAGCAGTCAGCAGCAGTCAGCAGCAGCAGTCAGCAGCAGCGGCGGCGGCAGCAGAGCTGCACCGCAAACCCGGGAGAGGGGGGTCCGCAAAGAATTTTTAGCTCGCACCCTGACTGTGCGATTTCGGGCCCGGGGTTGTGCGTCTATGTGAACGGACAGACAGAGATTGACAGGCAACGCCGGGTCCCAGGGCAGCCTAGCGCGACACCCGCCTCTAAGCGCGAGCTCTAAGCTCCAACTCTGCCGCAAGCCGGGCGCAGAGCGCTCAGGCGCTCACGTGCATGCCGGCTGCCATCTGCGTCTCAACGAGCATCTTGCGAAGATTGTTCATGCCTCGTCAGCCTCAAAGTCACCCATCACGGCGTCGCCGACCTCCTCCGTCGACCGTGCCGCAATCGTGCGCTTTACCAGCGTGATCAGCTCCTGCCTGTCTGGCGTGCCGCCTGGACCGATGATGCCAGCGGTTGAAATGCCGATCGCATGCATCGCGTCCTTCATCTGCTCGATGGTGAAGCCGCTCTGGTCCAACTCGAATCCGTCCTCGACGAGTGCGCGAAGCTGAGCTCCAAAGCACTCCTCGTCGCTCTCATACTCGAGCACCTCCTCCGCCCTCGCCTCCTCGAGCTTTTGGTCAAAGTCGTAGTCGTAGTCCTCGTCGCTGTCGTCCTTTACCTCGTTCGAGTACTTAGCCTCCAGCATCTCGGTCCATGTCTGCGGCGCCTCCTCCTCCTCCTCCTCCTCCTCCAGCTCCTTGAGCTGCTTGTTGAGGTGAAACGTCGCCTCTGTGGCTGTGGCGACGGTTGGCGATGCCGAGGCGGCGGGCAGCGCGAAGGCCGAGGCGGCGGGCAGCGCGAAGGCCGAGGCGGCGGGCAGCGCGAAGGCCGAGGCGGCGGGCAGCGCGAAGGCCGAGGCGGCGGGCAGCGCGAAGGCCGAGGCAGCCGCGGTTGCCGTGCGAGCGAGGCGCTTATTCTCCTCGCGGAGATGCGTAGCCTCCGGCTCCAGCTTTGAGACGACACTGTTGAGCTGCACATTCGCTTGCGTCGCCACTGAGAGCAAGCGTCGGAGGTGGCAAATCTCCTCGCGCTGTTTGACCGACGTGAGGATGAGCGAGGTTTTGCTTACGTGCTCGTTGTGAAGCACCTCCGTCGCATAGCACCGCAGCCGTGACTGGATCACTGCTGCCGACTGGCGCTGGCGCTGAAAGTCGCGGCTGGTCGAGCGAGCTCGCTCGCGCGCCTGCAGACGCGTGATCGCGAGGCGGGCAGCAGCCAGCGAGCGCCAGCAGCTCCGGCGCCGGCTCGTCGCCTGGAGCCGCACCGTCGCCCATACTTTGCGCGTATACTCACGCGTGCAAAGGCGGCGCCGAACGGCGGCCTCAAGTGTCACAGCCGCCTCCTTGTGCGCGCGGAAAACCTTGCGCTGGTGCAGCCCGCGGAATACGCTCTGGATGAGAGCTGCACTCGTACAAGCATGGCGCAGCACACGCACGGCGCAAAACCGCCTCCACGACTTCTGAATCTTGGTCGCGTTGCTGACCGCCGGGCCGTCGCTCGCCACACCCGCGCACGCCGCCAAGACCTGGTTACGCTGCTCCAGCAACCCAATTTTTGCCTGCATGCTCCGCATCATTTCGAACATGGTGTTCGGGGTGGGGGGCAGGTCGCCAAGCGGCATGCGGCGCTGTGCCTCGGGCTCGCGAAGCCCCGAAGCGGCCCGTCGGATCCACGTCGGCGTCTCTGTCATGTCGCGTCGCGCCGTGTGCGCGCCGGCGCCGCGCGTACGAATGCGGATGCGCCCCCCCGGGGGCTTCAAAAGACCGGAAACACCGATCTGGAAGGAAAAAACCGTCGAGCTGCCGTAAGGCTCTCCACTCCACCGTCCGAGAAGCGGCGAGAGACTGCGAAAAGAGATACGAAGAGGCAGACTCCCCAGGGTGGGCGACGGCTAGCGCATCACACACCTCTCCTTAAAATCCCTGTGTGGTGGCGGCGTGCCGTCCTCCCCGCCCTGCGGGGTGTGTTTTCTTTCTTTCTTAACTCCACCGTCCGATCTCGGTGATACAGTAACTGATATATTACACAGCCAACTCGAGCTCTAGCTGATTTGACGGCCGCGCGAGCGACTTGACACACGCGGGCAGGGCGTTCGGCGGGGGCTGTGCGCGCTGCAGGCACTCACCGCTCTGCGCGGTGCCCCCCCTCGCCGTCAGGACGGCGGCCCATCGCACATCTCCCGGAGGATGGCGTCCACCGCGCTGGGGCGCGACGGGTCGAGGTGCCACAAGAAGTGCGGCCGTGCCTCGCGCAGCGCCGCCTGCATCGCCGCCACCCGCGCCGCGGGGATGGCGCGCAGCGTGCGGAGCACCGAGAGCGGGTCGGCGAGGGCGGACGCCTCTTTGACGCGGACCGAGAAGGCAGTCCAGTCGAGCCACCGCTCGAAGGGGAGGCGCAGCCCGTCGGCGATGATGACCTACCATCTCGGCACATCTCGGCTGAGCGCGGCCGAGCTGTGCCGGTTGCACGCGCCGCCGCCGGCGAGAGCTGGCCGGGATGCAGCCCGCCGCGATCGACTCGTACGTGCGCTTCGAGGAGGACGTGTCGCCTAGAGCCGGCCGCGAGCCTCTGGTGACGCCGGCGGGGAAGGCTCGAGCGCCCGCCTCGAGGAGGGGAGGGGTCGCCGCGTGGCGAGAGGCAGAAGGTGGCGCGCAGCATCTTTTTGAGGTAGTCGCCGTGCGGCTCGTACGAGGCGCCCGGCCGCGCCGTCGCCGCCTAGGTCGACCCGTCGGTCAGCGGCAAGAGTGAGAGGCTCGAGTGGCGGCCGAGGAGCCCGGCCGCGCTGTCGCCGCCTCGACGAGGGCGTCCGGCTGGCCGGCGAGAGCCTTGAGCATCGTCCTCCGCACAGAGCGCGACTCGATCGAGACGCGCGGCAGGTGGCCTCGGAAGAAGAGGAGGATGGACCGGTTGCGGCCCGGCGGAGGCTCGGCCGCCACGAGCCACGCTGGCCGCGAGACGACATACGGCACCTGGAGGACGTGTCGCGGACGCGTCGTGGACACGACCTGCGGCTTGCCTCGCGGGGAGGCCGGCGCGGCACCGCAATGTACGGCCGCGACCCGCCGCACGACGAGCAGTCATCCACAAGCAGCCGGACCTGTCCCGGAGAAGCTACGCCTGAGTCCACCAGACAGCGGTCGACCGGCAGCCGCCCGCCGGCAGAACGGACCGCGCCGCTCGTCCCGCCGACGCAGGCGCCGGGGTGGCCGTGCGCGACGACGTTCCGGCCTCCGCGCCGCCAGCCGGCCCCGAGGCCGGCCTCGATGGCAGAGAGAGCGGCGGGCACCTTGTGCGGCGCAAAGATGAACATGTACGAAAAGTATGCCGCGACGAAGACGCGGCGCGCGCCGACGAGCGCCGACGCGTTGCGCTCGCCGGCCGGCGGCGGCAGCGCCCGGTGCACCCACCACTCGATCCCGTTCTGAAAGTGGCGGTTGGGCGCGTCGACGTTGTTCTTTGCCCACTCGCGCGGGCGCGACTGCAGGATGACGTCCCGGTGGAACGCTCGGCCCGGGTCGAAGACGCGCAGGTCGCACGGCGCCCGCCGCCGACACTCGGCCGGAGGCGACCGAGCGCTCTTCTCGCACCGCGCGGCGAGCTCCGGGTCGCTGGCGCCCGAGCGGCGCTGCCGCCGCAGCGCGAGGTGCCGCTGCCGCTGCTCGTTCGGGTCGGCGCGCGAGGGCGAGGCGAGGGAGAGGAGGAGGGCGGCGAATACTGACGTGCTCGCTCGCATGCCAGTGCTGATGAGTGGCGAGGGTACGCCAGACTCGCTGTAGAGCGCGGCCTGCGACAGCGAAAGAGCGCGAGCGCGCTTCGCGACACGAGGGGGTTGGGCCGGACTCACCAAACGACAAGAACTCTCGTCTTTGTAGCCTGGCGTTTGTGCCCCGTTTGTGCCGCGTCCCGTGCCGCCGAGTTCATTTTATAAAATACAAGAACTCTCGCAGAAAGGGCCAGAGACCGCGTCCTCTCTCGCGACACGTTGGGGGGAAACGATCCATTACGCTTGTACAAGGTTAGTTCACGCAAAAACACAATCGGGCCCAAGACGCACAGGTTTCAATTTCATACCTCGAATGCGACCTTTCTGCGAAACTGCAGCACGCGTCATCCGGCACGCCTGCTCCTCTCACTCCCGGCACGCCTGCTCCTCTCACTCCTCGTCCACTCAGTTCCAACCATGGTGCTCGCGCTGGCACCGCTCTCGCGCACCGCTCTCGCGCCTCCTCGCGCGGCCGTCGTCCTGCAGGACCCCTCGTCCAAGGCGCTCGACAGCACGCCTCCCGTCTTTTCCGTGGTCGAAGACACCGTCCCGGTTCCCGACCCGCCCAACTTCTCTCCGAACGCATATGTGCAAACCTTGCCCGGAATCTCTGGCCCGCTCGGCTTCTTCGACCCGGCAGGGTTCTGCGGCGACAACAATGGCGCCGACGGCAGCGCCACCCTGGGCAAGGTGAAGTTTTACCGCGAGGTCGAGCTGAAGCACGGCCGCGTCGCGATGCTCGCTTCGCTTGGTGAGGCCGCCTCCCGCGCCAGCGCCCTCACCGAATCCTCGCCGTTACATCCTCCCGCGCCACACAGGCTTCCTAGTGGGTGAGAACTTCCACCCACTCTTCGGCGGCAACATCGACGTGCCGTCCTACGTTGCGTTCCAGCAGACGCCGCTGCAGGTCTTCTGGCCGGCCGTCGTGTTTGTGATTGCGAGCCTGGAGGTCTTCAGCGTCTTTACGTTTGAGGACCCCAACGTCGAGGGCTGGGCGATCCGGGCCGACCATGAGCCCGGCACGCTGGGCAGCAACAACCGCCGCTGGGACCCGCTCGGCCTGGCGCCGTCTGACCCGGCCGAGTTCAAGGCGATGCAGACGAAGGAGCTGAACAACGGCCGGCTCGCCATGATTGCCATCGCCGGCATGATCGCGCAGGAGCTCGTCACGAAGACCAAGCTCTTCTGATTCACGTGTGTGCGGCATGTTTGGTGTGGTGGCGGTCGGAATGTACATATGCACATATCCCGCGCGCGCACACTCTCTCTCGCTCTCTCGCGTTGTCCAAAACTTTCGTCTGTGGGTGCCATGGAGACTACAACATCAAAAAGACACCTCGCGTGCAGTTACTTGTGTGCAGCTTTTACATGCTGCGCCGCGCGTCCGCGCTCGATGTGCCGCCGCCTGCGCGCTCGTGCGGCTGCACGCCTCCTATCTCCTCGTACTCCTCCCTCAATCACTCTCCCCGCCCACAAGAGCCGATGCATGGCAGGTAGGCCACCAGGGCGGTGATGTCGTCTCGATAGTTGCCCTCCTCTCGCCGCCAGCACATGGCCGCGCTGGCCATCAGGTTTGTGCACGCCACGCTGGCGGGCTGCCCGGAAGCGTGGAAGCGGGAGACGAGCCGCACAACCTCCTCGTCGCTGAGGTGCTCCCAAACACCGTCGCTCGCCAGCACGAGGAAGAGATCGCGCTGGCCGTCGCGCGGCACCTGAGGCGATAGCTCGTAGTACCGCACTGCCGGGGTCGGCACGATGCCGGCATCGGCGTCGTCGAGGTCGCCGAGGCAACGCGACATTGCGAGGCCCGGTCCCGAGCTCCGCTGCCCGAGGTCACGGTAGACCCGCGCCGGCTCCACGCCGTGCTGCGGGTCGTCGCACCCCTCCCACACTGCCGCGCCGGCCGCCTCGATTCGCTGACGCTCTATTGGGTCCGTCGGCCGGTGGTCGACGGAAAGCCTGACATTCGGGGCCGTCATGCGTCACGCGCGCGCAGCGTGCGTGTGCGCAACAGGGCGAGAGGGGCGAACCGGATGGCGACGGAATCTCCCGCATCGTTGACGGCGCCGATCACCGCCCGACAATCGCCCGCGCCCGCACACCAGATGCGCGTGCCATGGAGCAGGACCGCGAGCGCGCATGCCCCCGAGACCCGCGCATTCACCCCCGACGCAAAGCGAAGCGCCTCATTGGTCGCCTAAGAGGAGGAGGCGAGCCTTTGGTCCAGGACTGGAGATCATGCCCCTTCCGCGAGACCTCAACACCTCGAATGCGCGCTTAAAGGCATCGGCGATCGCCTCGTCCGCGAGCAGCCGCCGCTCAATCTCGTCGACGAGGATATCCATCGCATACCCGGACACCGCCTTGCCATCCTCCCCATGCCCATCGAGTACGCAGAACAGCGCGCAATCGGCGTCGGAGCAAAACGGATGGCAGACGCAAGCGCAATCCTGGTTTACCTTGTGGCGGTGAGGGCAATTGCGGTGGTGAGGCAGCGGTGGTGAGCGCGGCGGCGGTGCGAGAGAGCGGAAGCGGAGGCAGCAGTGGACGCCGAGAGGCGGGGCGGAGAGAGGCAGCAGACCTTGTGCTGGCCAGTTCCCTGCGGCGAGGGCTCGATGCCGTGGCACGAGAAGGAGCAGACCAGCGCGGGGTCGAACGGGAGCTCCGCCTCGTCCGCCTCTTCGCCCAGCTCGGTCGCAGAGCACCGCTTTGTGGGCCAGTCCATCTTGTCGGGCGAGTGGAGCTCATGGAACGTCTCCGGCTCGGCGCCACTGCTTCCGTCGGGTACGGCGCCCGCGACAGCGTCGGACCAGGACATGGGCCCACGCCGTGTAGCTCCAATCGGAAGCTCGCCGCTCAAGTCTTTTGAGGAGCGACGCCTCCGAAAGGTGCGAGCCGCTTCAGTCGCCGGCGCGTCACTTGTCTGTGAGTTAGTCGGATCGGCTATCGCGTCCTGAATGAGGTCGAGGTGCTTCGAGCCTCGGCGCTGCCGGAAGGTCATGGACGGCTGCGGGGAGGCTGGGAGCTCGTCGGAGTTGGCCATGGCGGCTCGCGCGACTGCAGCAGCAGTTGCGGCTGCCGCAGCAGCTTCCACCCGCGCCACCTCTGCTGCTTTGGTGAAACGCTCGCACGCAAGGGCGGCTTGCGCCGCCTGGTGCGACGCAGTGGCTGCTCGGCTCGCGGCGAGCGAAACCTCTTGCATCGCGGCCTCTAGCTTCTCAGCGAAATGCTCAGACAGAGGCGCGCGGGTGGTGCGTTCGCTGCCGCCGGGGCAGCTGGGTGTGGACTCGGCATCGGGATCAGGACGCCGCGGTGTAGATTCGGGAGTTGAGGGGGCCTTGACCGAGAAGCTGGGACTCGTGGACACGCCAACCGAGTACACTGCGCTCTGGGAGGCTGCGCTCGAGCCCCCCAGCTGCCGCATCCTGTCGCTCGACAGCTCTGCGAGTGCCAAGGGCAGAGCCGGATGGTCCGCAGCGGAGACTGCACGGCGGCAGCCGAGCGTGCACTCCGCGCAGGCGGAGCCCCTCCCGGAAGAGACAGGCCGGGGAGGCTCGTTCGCTACGCTGACCCAGACGACGAGAGCGTCGCTTGCGGACTCACAGACCACCCCGTGCAGCCCGGCGGCCGGCGTCCGCCACGTTAGCGGCGCCTGGACCTCCTCGCCACCCGCCACTGGCCCGCCCCTTGACAAGGATCGGACAGGCAAGAGCGCGCTCGGGCCAGATCTACGTCTAGCCGCATCGCAATCGCCCAGCACAGTTGCCCCGTGGAGGAGCTACGGTGGAGAGCGCCTAGCCACGGCGCCCGTGGACGGGTGGAGGAATGGCACGGTCTACGGTGGACGCGAGCGCCTGGCCACGGCGCAGGCCTACGCCCTCCGCCCAACAGAGCGAGTCAGGCTGACGCGCACCACGCGGGAGCGAGCTAGCGACGCTGGCCTCCACGCCACCCGCACAGAGGTGCGGAGGCTGCACGACGAGGTGTCGGCTTTGCGCGAGGAGCTCCAAAGGCGACCGAGCACTCCATGCGATGCGCCCTCGAGGCCGCGGACGGCCCCCTCGCGCAGGGGTGAGCTCAATTGCGACGAGTCGTCGGCCACGGCCCCTCCGCATAGGATGAAGAGAGGCCACGACCTCCGCCTGTTCCGAGAGGCGGGGCCGCTGGCTCCTGCCGGGAGAGCGACGACGCGCCAGTCGGCAGCCAGGAGGGAGGAGGATGTCGATGAGGTGCGGCTGCTGCCCGAAGCTAGTCTGAGTGATTGAGGGAGATCTCTACTCTACTCAGGTTGGTTAGGAATGTAAGAAAAAGAAATCTTCGAAAGAAGAAGAAGCTTGGAGAGGCGACTTCGACACACAGCAGCTGGCACACAGCAAATGTTATCCTTCACCTTGCTCACCCCCTCGCTGAATGCGCGCCCGGCCGTGCTGACTTCGGCTGCGTCGCGCGCGAGCGCGCCGCACATGATGGCCTGGAAATCGGACACATCGATTGGCAGCGCGCTCAGGTCGAGCCGCGACACACTTGGGATCGGCCAGGTGCCATCCAACCTCATCGGCAATGTGGTGCGCAATGCTTCCCGATGCAGCGGTCGCCGTGTCGCCGTTTGATTGATTCCGGTACGCCCGCTGCTGACAGGTTCCCACCTCGATCGGCAAGGAGCTCACGCCGGCGTCGGTGGCTGCGCCGGCGGCCGTCACCGAGGCGGAGGTGCTCGAGTGCCAGGCCAAGTGGGCCAACGCGATCGCGTCCATCTCGTCCGTCTACCTCGAGGAGGGCGACTTTGTCGCGGCGGCGGGCGAGGCGGCGGGAGAGCTGTACGGCTACGGCCACCACAACGTGCTCTTCAAGCCGACCAAGGCGACCAAGCACCCCTTCCGCGCGACGGGCGCCGAGGCGATGTCGTACTTTGTGGGCGCCGAGGCGATGAAGAACGACGAGTTCAAGGGCGAGGACGCCGGCTTCGCCATCAACGGCGGCAAGGGGTGGAGCAAGGTGGTCTTCACCAACCACCAGATCGACCTCAACGGCGACACTGCGCTCGCGATGGGCTCGTACGACTTCACCTGCGCCACGACCGGCGACGTGGCCACGGTCGAGTACACCTTCGGCTACAAGCGGTGCGCCGACGGCAAGCCGCGCATCCACCTGCACCACTCGTCGGTGCCCTACTCGGCTGCGCCGGCGGCCGTCACCGAGGCGGAGGTGCTCGAGTGCCAGGCCAAGTGGGCCAACGCGATCGCGTCCATCTCGTCCGTCTACCTCGAGGAGGGCGACTTTGTCGCGGCGGCGGGCGAGGCGGCGGGAGAGCTGTACGGCTACGGCCACCACAACGTGCTCTTCAAGCCGACCAAGGCGACCAAGCACCCCTTCCGCGCGACGGGCGCCGAGGCGATGTCGTACTTTGTGGGCGCCGAGGCGATGAAGAACGACGAGTTCAAGGGCGAGGACGCCGGCTTCGCCATCAACGGCGGCAAGGGGTGGAGCAAGGTGGTCTTTACCAACCACCAGATCGACCTCAACGGCGAGACGGCCACGGCGATGGGCTCGTACGACTTCACCTGCGCCACGACCGGCGACGTGGCCACGGTCGAGTACACCTTCGGCTACAAGCGGTGCGCCGACGGCAAGCCGCGCATCTATCTCCACCACTCGTCGGTGCCCTACTCGGCCTAAGGCTGGGTCTGTGCGCGCCCCTCGACCCGCTAGTCCCGAGGGTCTCATATGCTCACAGGGCGCGCGAGGGCTTGTCCTGCGGCTGCGGAGGCCCCTAGACTGGGCGACGGCAAGCGCAGGCGCGATTTCTTGGGGAGGGGCCGGGGTGTGAGGGCGTCATGTGAGTTGATGGCGTGGAGTCTCGTCCAGCACGCCGGGCATATACACCTGTGTTTTGTAGCTCTTGTTTGTGAGTAGAATGGAAAGGATAACGATAAGGTCATCGTCAACCTGCCGCGCTCTGCGAGTTAGTGAGACTGAGAGCTCGAGCGCCCCCTCCCGACTCTGTCTCGCGTCGGGACCACGCGGCTGCCACGCCGCCGAGCCCCCCGCATGCCGCGACCTCGGGCCTCGCAAGAGCCAAGTGGCAAGTGTGTGCTCACCGCTGCCCCGCAGACCCGCACACGTGACTGGCGGCGGCGGAGCAGGCGCGCGGCTCACTCGCTACCATCGACGGGCGTGTCACACGTTGGCGCGGGCTTGCTCAAGCTCAGACAGCCTCCCCCCGAGGTTGAGGACAGAGAGCGGGTCGGCGGCCCAGCGCGACGGCGCCTTGCGCTGCCGCCGCTCGCGCTCTCCGACGCCGCTCTGCACGGGCGCGGGAGCAGAGGGCGGCGCCTCCTCTTTGGCCGCCTCGTCGTGGGCAGCCTGCGCCGCCGCCTCCTTCGCCGCCTCCTCCTGCGCCTCTCGGTCGAGCAGCGCCTGGCCCAAGCTGGCCACCGAGTGTCCCGCGCTCGCAGCCGAGCCTGCTGCCGCCGCCCCCTCGCCCAACCCCTCTCCCACCTTACCCCCTCCTTGGCGCTCGTCCGCCTCGTCCGCCTCGTCCGCCTCGTCCGCCTCGTCCGCCTCGTCCGCCTCGCCCGCCCAACCCGCCCCGCCCGTCCCCGCCGCCCCCCGCGCCTTGACTCGCGGCTCCTCGCGCTGCCTCTTGCGCAGCTCGGACGGCGGCGGCGCCGGCCCCGCCTCGAACCGCACCACAGGCTGCGAGCCGCGCTTCGAGCAGCGAGGGAGGAGGCTCGAACCCGCTGGCGCCGGCGCCTTCGTCGCCGACGCCAGCTCAGCCGTCGCCGCGGCGGCGTCGGCCGGTGCGCAAAGTTGCTGCGGCACCAGCGGGGTCGGGGCCAGGGCGGGGAAGCGACTGGCCGCCGGCGAGGACTCGGAGGCGGGCGGCGGAGGCGCTGTGGCGCCCCTGGCGCGGGCTTGCTCAAGCTCAGACAGCCTCCCCCCGAGGTTGAGGACAGAGAGCGGGTCGGCGGCCCAGCGCGACGGCGCCTTGCGCTGCCGCCGCTCGCGCTCTCCGACGCCGCTCTGCACGGGCGCGGGAGCAGAGGGCGGCGCAGCCACCCCCTCGGCCGCCCCCTCGCCCAACCCTGCGCCCGCCCCGCCAGCCCCGCCCGCCCAACCCGCCCCGCCCACCCCCGCCGCCCCCCGCGCCTCGACTCGCGGCTCCTCGCGCTGCCTCTTGCGCAGCTCGGACGGCGGCGGCGCCGGCCCCGCCTCGAACCGCGCAGTCGGCTGGCGCGCTCGCGACGTCGCCGACCGCGGGGGCACGGCCGCCGCCCCGCCCCTCTCTCCGACTGAGCCGGGCGCCCTTTGCTGCGGCGCGGATTTGCAGGCCGAGGCGGGCGGCGCGGGCGGCGGCGGCGGAGGTGGCGCGGGCGTCCGCCTCGGCCTCGAGGGCGGCTGGTCCTCCCCGTGGCGAGGGCAGTCCTGCAGCCCCTGCAGCCCCTGCTGCGCTTGCAGCCCCTGCTGCGCCTGCTGCGCCTGCAACTCGTGCGGCTGCTCCGTCTTCTCCGTCCGCCGCAGCTGTGCGTCGAGCCTCTGGCGCGGGTGGTCCTCATGCTCGTCGACCCGCTCGCTCGGCACGGGCACGTCCGAGGCGCCTCCCAGCCGAGCGACCGCCCGCGTGCGCCGGTCACTGCGCCGCCCACTGCCCGCGGGCTCGGCCGGCGGCGGCAGCGGCGGCGGCGGCGGCGGCGGCGGCGGCGGCGGCGGCGGCGGCGGCGGCGGGCCTGCGCGCGCGTCTGCCCGCAGCCGCTCGCGCTCCGCCTCCTCCGCCTGCGCCTTCTCGCGCGCCTTGCGCATCAGCCCGATCTTCCGGATCTCCTCGTCGATCTCTGCCCATACCCCCTGCCCCGCCTGGCTCGACGAGGCGCCGCCGCCGCCTCCCTGCCGCCCGCCGCGCTCCGGCCTCTCTGGCCGCTGCTCCCTGCGCGGCAGTTCGTCGTCGCCGCAGGCCGCGCGCGCTGCCTTGCGCTTCTCCTTCTGCTTGCGCACGTGCACGTCGTACTCGGACATGATGAGGTGGCCGCCGGGCGTGTCGTCGGGGTGGCCGTGCATCAGCATCGGCACCGTCGAGAAGCCGTCCTTGGGGCGGAACTCGTGGAAGAGCGGCTTGTACCGGCCCGACTTGTCCTGCACGATGATGAACGGATGGCGCGCGTCGTTGATGAAGTTCTTGGCCATGCGGCCGCCTCCGCCGCCCGCCAGCGGCACGCCCCGCGCAGTCGGTTCCGCCAGCATCGGGAGCGGCCTCGGGCGCTTGGCGGGGGAGGCGGCAGACGCAGGCGCGGCCGGCGCGGCACTGCCGCCAGGCGGAGATCGGGCAGGCTCGCCGGCGAGGCCGGCGGAGGCGAGCAGCGTTCCGCGGCTCTTGCGCTTGTGCATTGAGGTCTGGTTTTGAGGAGCGGGAAGCGAGGGCGGCAAAGCAGCAGAAGAGGGTCGCTATTTTTATTCGACGTCCTGCAGGTGTGTATTCTCGAGGTTCTCGAGGTGGATATCCTTTGGCCGCGTTGGGTAGCGAGGATTGGTGTAACCCGAGCCACGGAGGCGTGTTTTCTGACGGCCGACCGTCAGTGCACGGAGTTGCCACTTCTCCGACTGCCCCGGCTAGTTAGTTCCCGAGGTCGTCGGGTGTGACCCCTTCGTCCCCCGAGACCTAGCGCGGGTGGGTTGGAGGGGGCTCGCCCCGTTCCTTTTTGCTTGGGGCGGCCAGCATGCCGGGGTAGGTAGGGTAGGTCTGGGCCCTTCCTTTGGGTTTTCCCCTCTCTTCACGCCGGAATTTCACAGCAAAAAAAGAAATTTTCGGCGAAAATCACGACGTCAACCCTCCCCAAGTGGGTGATCTGGTGCTTGTAGGGCTTGATAGTGGCCTGCCATGTCACAGGAAGGACTGTGATTGCAGGAGAGTACCACCAGCCATCACTTTAGTTGGTATAGTACCCCACCTTCACCCATACCGTGATTTCTTTTTTAGTTTCCCAAGTAGGGTAGGTAGGTAGGTAGGTAGGGGCACCGCAGGGGCCGGTCAGGTTTTTCCAGAATTTCAGCATGCTGGCCGCCCCAAGCAAAAAGAATACACACCTGCGTTCTGCTCATATTCGTTTCCTTTCGCCGCTTTCGGCGCAACCTCATCCACAGCACCAAGAGCACCCCATGCAGTAATACATTTTTTTCTTTTTTAGGCCTCTCTCGAGGTTCTCGAGGTGGACATCCTTTGGCCGCGTTGGGTAGCGATTTTAGGCCTTCGCCTGAGATCGCCGCCCGCCCCCCGAGCTCCCACCCCCCGCCTCACCCGGGGCGCCATCCTCCTCCACCCGCCCCCCCCCCGATCCCCCATCAACCCATCCACGTCCCCTTCATACAGTAAGATTTGCATTCAGTTGCAACTCCCCACTCCCATGCACGTCCCCTGACGGAATCACATGGTCCGACATGCACATGGCCGGCTGCAACGGTGCCTACGCCCTCGAGGGCTGCTTCAATCTCACCCGCCAGTATGTCGCCTCCAACGGCTCGCTGGCAAACGTCAGCTACTACACCGAGCGCCCCAAGCTTCTGCTGACGGTCGACGGCACGACGCATTTGCTCGGGACGGTGTACTACCAGCCGCCGGACAAGCGGACGGGCGGCTTTTCTTTACTATTGTAGAACCCCTGCGCGGCAGCAGCACCAGCAGGCGCAGCGACAGGCCGTTCATCTCAGAGAGGTTGCAGAGTTCACACGCGCGCGCACACACTAGCGTAGAAGAACTCAAGTACCGTAAGGTATGATCTATGAATTTTAGACTTTACACACCACCTGCTGTGTGAAACAAATCTAAAACGTCCTCGTCCACCCTAGTCGTTAGTGGGTCTATTAGTGCCTTATACACACACACCAAGATCGTGCAGAGGGCGGGGACACACGGGGTCGGATCCATGTGTGTGGTCCGTCCCACTTTACTTATTTAGATTTGGGGCGGTCAACAAAGAATTGAACCCGGCCGGAGAGGTTCGCGCCGGGGCATACGGGGTACCCTTTACCTTGAAAGCAACACAGAGCCGTCTCAGAGCGCCACACACGGGCCCGGGTGGACGACCCCAACTCCTAGCACGCGCCCGCGCGGCTCGCGCTCAGTCGACCGACCAATTGCACCAGAAGTAGTAGAGGGGGACGTCGACGACGGCGGTGGCGGCGATGACGATCCAGAAGAAGAAGAGCGTGCCGTACTTGCGCAAGGCCGACGCCACCGCCCCGCCCTCGCTGCCCACCCGGTTGAGAGGCGGCAGCCCTGCCGTCGAGTTCTTGATGGTGCGCGGCAGCAGCAGCGCGTAGGTGACCTCGCCGAGCTCGAGCACAAAGATGGCCGCCACGCAGTTGAGCACCTGTTCACATAATCTGCGTGAGGAGACGGAGTTCCCGCCCCTGCCGCCGGTGCCGCCTCGCAGTCGGCACGAGGTCGAAGCGGTTGCCCGACCGCAGCACGGAGCCCGAGCCGGCAAAGAGGACCCCCACCGTCACCGCGGCCCAGGGCAGAAGCAGGAATGCGTAGAAGCTCGCGCGTGCGCACGGAGTGATGCCGCTCTGAGGGCGACACACGCCGCGCATGTCGTCGGTCCCCATCGCCTCACCGAGACCACCCTCCATGCTCCGCGCCACGCCGTCCATCGCCTCATCCACACAGTCAGGGTAGACAGACGACTCCTCCTTGCCGCTCTCCTCCTTGCCGGTGCCGGTGGGCGCTTGCGGCGTTGGCTTGAGAAGGTACTTTTGGAGCATTAGCTCCTCGTGCCGCTCACACGACCCAAACATTTGCAGCCAGTTGTGGGCCTCGAGGATGGTGTAGAGATTGCCGAGCGAGAGGCCGACGAAGGCGGAGAGGCCCGTATACAGCAGCATTCTGTGGTCGGTCAAGCACACCGCTTCGAGGTCTCCATCGTAGTCCTTGACACCGACTTGGAGGTAGTAAGTCAGCGTCACTTGGAGGAAGATTGTGAGGGCGACTGGCGGCGCAGTAAAGAACGCGGCGCCGATCGCCGCCTCGGATGCGCTCTCGTTGTTGAGCCAGGCGACGATGGCTGCGGTGTAGACGTTCTCAGGGAGCACCCGCTGCTGGATACCGTTTTCACGCTGGCTCTCTGCCATCGGGTTGAAGGCTCCGCCGACTTTCTCGAGCTCGAAGTAGGCCGGATCGCACGAGAGCTTGTCGGGCGAGAGTCCTTTGGAGCGGGCGAGCGACATGGCGAGGAGCCAAACACAGCGGGAGAGGAAGCAAGAGCTCCAAGGCTCCAAGCCAGGAGCGCGTTTGTTACGTTCGCGCGGTTTTTTTTAAATTTACTCGAGTTGAGTCTGTCGGTACTAAGCGCAGGGTTAGCGTGGGTTTCACACCGGGTTAAGCCACACTAACCCGGCAAGGGTCAGCTCGGGTCAGAACGGGTTACCATAACCCGACGCTAACCCCGCGGCACTAACCCGGCACAACTAGGGCTCCATCTCCGCATCCGACGGCGAAGGAAGCAAGTTGACTAGCGGCGGTGCACGTCTCCGATGCGCGGCAAGTTTGTTCATACACAAATGCGGGCGATTCCAAGTAACTTGAACAAGTTACCAACAACATGCCTATTACGCCCCGCCGCAGCCGTTTCATCTCGCCAACCAGCTCTCTAACCCGGGGGGTGCACTGCACTCTAACCCGGCCCTAGCCCACCCCTAACCCGGCGCAAACCCATGCTGACGTATGCCCCCCCAGCCGCACGGGTTAGCGCTGCGGGTTAGCGCTGGGTTAGGAAAAGACTCCAGGGCACGAGTTCAGCGACCCGACCGACCGCACGACAGCTCGTCAAGATTCCGCCTCAGAGTGGAGACAAGCAACAAAATAGTCCACCCTCAAGAATGGATTAACGCTGCAAGAGCGATACACAGCACTCTGGTCCCGCCTACAATCACCGACAACTATTGTAGATATATTCTCAACAGGAGGCTGGTCCTCCGGAAACAGCTCAAGGCGTACGGACTAGACACCACAACACACACGAGGTGCAGGCTCTGTAACAGAACCTCTGAAACGCTGAGACACCTCGACGAGTGCCCGGTCGTCCGGGCGGTCTTTGCACAAGGAGAGTCACTGAGCATACCTCCGCCGAGACTACTCACCATCATCGGAACCTCGGCGGACACGCCTGAGGTCCACAACGCACTTCATCTACACATGTGGAACCAAATAATAGTCTCCTTCTACGAAGAAGAAGACATCAAACCCGGACAAACCTGGAAGGCGGTCTTGAACCTATTAGTGAGAAACATGCAAGGGTACTCGGGGGAGGCCAGAACTAGGCTCCGACGAATAAGACGCAAGAGCGACCGAGTCAGCGATTCGACCATGAAAGAAATAAGCGACAAAGTAGAACCCATGGGGACGATTGACTACTACGGCAGACTACGACTGAGCAGGCGAGTGAATGAAGAACTAAGGAGAGTGGGACTCGACCACCTCACCACAGAAGAGGCGACGACTCACGCACGAGAGATCAAGTTTGTCAAGGCCTCACAAGCTAGCACAACAAACACCTAAAGACTTAAAGGCATCACACTACAAGGAACGCGGCTGAGCTGACTCCCTGTAGGGGGCGCCTCGGTGAACCAGGGACTAGGATCTCGCGCAGACGACACAGGGCGTGCTGCGCCCCGCGCGATCCCTGGCGCAGAGGAGGCTGAGCTGCCGAACTTAGGATGCCTGCAAAGGCTGGCGAAAGCCAGCGAGACACGCCCACAACTCATATCCACTACAACAAGCCATTATGCCCCAATAGGCCCCACCACCCCACCCCTAGGCAATGTAGCGCACATGTCTAGTCCGGAGAGGACGGGGGGGGGGGGGGGGGGTAGGGGATAGCACTGTGCCGAGTACTTTGGATTAAAGCAAAATTTTTTTTTAGCGCTGGGTTAGTGAGATAGTGTGCCGGGCAGCGGGTTAGTGCCGGGTTATGGTAACCCATTCTGAGACTGACCCGTGCGCGTGCCGGGTTAGTGAGCACTAACCCGCGCTAACCCGCGCTTACCGACAGACTCACTAGGGTGCAACGCTATGTTCACAATTTTCGACGCGAGATATTGGAAACGGGGGTGAGCAGCGAAGAGAGTCGCGCCGCGGCGAGATGAAAAACGGAGCATTGCGCTAAGCCGCGGGCCTGAGCACTGAATGTGCGAAAGAGCGGCGAATATCGGGCTGCGTGTGGCAGATGCCGCGAATACAATGCCGCGTCCCTTTGGGCAAGAAAGGGGAAGCCGGCGGTGGGGGCGGCAGCGGCTGCCTGCGCAGCCTCGATCACACATGAGCGCCGCCGCCTGGATCACACCAGCTTGCCGGCCGCGCTGGCGTGCGCGACCGGCCGCGGCTTTGGCGGCGGCTTTGGCGGCGGCGGGCCCTTGAGCGCGCGGTGGACGGTCGCCTAGAGGACGGTCCCGAGAAAGTTCGTGCTCGGGCCCTCGGCCGCCTCTGGCAGCGTGGCGGGCGGGCGGTCTCGCGTTTGCCGCGAGCTGGGCGAGGCTCGGCCGGTGGGCGGCGGAGGCTCGCCTGTGGCGGGCGGGGGAGGGGGGGGGGGGGGGAAGGCAGCCGGTGCGTCGAGCAGGAGGAGTGGGGTAGAATCTCACTATGTCTCTCGGCCGTGTCTCGGGTGTGTCTCGGGTGCGTCTCGGCTGCGTCTCCGGCGAGATCTCGGCTGTGTCTCGGCTCGTGTCTCGGCTGCGTCTCGGCTGTGTCTCGCCGTGCTCTCGAGGAGGAGGAGGAGGAGGAGTAGCGGCGAGGCGAGGAGGAGAGGTGGCTCGAGAGGCCTGTGGGAGGGGAGAGGGAGGGGGGGGGGGGGGGGTTCGGCGGGTTGGAAGAGGAGGAGGGGTACCGTGCGGCGGTCGGGTGCGGCGCGAGTAGCGGGCGGGGCGGTAGGGGTGGTCCCCCGCCATGGCGACCCCGACGCCTACAGCCTCGGCGGGCCTCGGGTTGACCCCTCGGCGGATCTCGGCAGATCTCGGCTTGACCTCGGAGGATCTCGGGTCGCAGCCAGGGACCTCCCCCCCCGACCCCCACCCCCCCTCACACACGCGCGCGCGCACGTTGGGTGATGGCGGATGAGCAGGGGGCGGCTGGGGGGGCGAGGGTACGGCCTCGTCGCGCCGCGTGCTCAAGGGAGCCGCGCGGCGTCGAGAGGCGTCGCACCCCAGGGAGCACGCGTCTTTCGAGAGTGCCTCCGGGGAGGGGGGAGGGCTCTGGATTGCGCAGCTACAGGCTGGCCGCCCATTGCGCTGAGGAAGCCCACGGCCGCCAGGGCGAGCAGCGTGCAGAACTGGCACATGTTGCCGCGCGTGGCGGAGCCTGCGGCAAGGCGGTGAGGCGGCAAGGCGGCAAGGCGGTGAGGCGGCGAGGCGGTGAGGCGCGGGCATGCAGGCGGCGCGGGACGGCCCCCAGAAGAGCTCCGCCCCTGGCACGTGCCGTGCGGCGGAGCCGTGCACGCAGCGACCTCTCGGCGACCTCTCGGCGATCTCTCGGCGATCTCTCGGCGATCTCTCGGCGATACCTCGGCGATCTCTCGGGCTGCCTCTCGGGCTGCCTCTCGGGCTGCCTCTCGGGCTGCCTCTCGGGCTGCCTCTCGGGCTGCCTCTCGGGCTGCCTCTCGGGCTGCCTCTCGGGCTGCCTCTCGGGCTGCCTCTCGGGCTGCCTCTCGGGCTGCCTCTCGGGCTGCCTCTCGGCTGCCTCTCGGCTGCCTCTCGGCTGCCTCTCGGCCGCCTCTCGGCCGCATCTCGGCTGCATCTCGGTGCCGTGCACGCAGCAGCCGAGGACACCGCAGTGGTGGTCGAACTCCGGCACGCACCTGAGGGAGATCTCGAAGGGAGATCAGACGAGATCTCGATCGAGATGAGGCGAGACGTGGTGGGAGGTCAGGCGAGATCTTGCAGGAGATCTTGCGCGCACCGCTGGCAGGTGGAGCAGTGGTGGCCGTCCGCAGGTCGCCTGGCGAGCAGCCGCTTCGGTCGTTTGGGGCTTCGGTTTCGGACTTTTGAGGTTCAACTGCTGCCGCCGCTGCTGCTGCTGCTGCTGCTGGCGCTGCTGGCGCTGCTGCCGCTGCTGCTGCTGTCGCTGCTGCTGCTGCTGCTGCTGCTGCTGCTGGCGCTGCTGCCGCCGCCGCCGCCGCCGCTGCTGCTGCTGCTGCTAGCCGCCTGAGCAGGCAGCGCTGTATCTCGGCCAGATCTCGGCTTGTGTCTCGGCTGTTTGCTGCCAGAGCAGGCAGCGCACGCAATAGACGCCGCGCCTGAGGAGGGGGGTCGAGGGTGAGGGCGACTCTCGGGGTGGGGAGGGCGCGGCCGGCAGGGGCGGCACACCCGTCCGGGTCCGGGTCGGTCACGTTGTGCAGCCCCTCGACGGCCATCTCCATTGCGGCGCTGAGGCTGGGCGGCCTGCGGACAGAGAGAGCGGGGCAGCGCGGTGAGAGAGAGAGGGAGGGAGAGAGCGAGAGAGGGAGAGGGAGAGAGCGCGAGAGAGGGAGTGAAAGAGAAAGAGAGAGAGAGAGAGAGAGAGAGAGAGAGAGAGAGAGAGAGAGAGAGAGAGAGAGAGAGGGGAGAGAGAGAGAGAGCGGCGCAGCAGGTGGGTGCCGGACATCTAGCGCAGGAGCACCTCGGCTCCTCGACGTCGCCCGTCGAGGAGCGGCGCAGCGCGGCGCGGAGCCGGTCCGCCACTGCGGGCGGGAGAGGGAAGCACGCCTGCGGGGAGCGCTGCAGCACCCCGCGGCTGCCGTACTGCAGCGTGAACAGGCAGTACAGTGCGATCGCGGCCTCGAGGTAGATGATTCTGCGGCACATCGACGCCTTGGGAGCCGACGCCTCGGGGACGTCCGTGGTTGTCAGCATCACGCAGCCGACGCAGAAGGCGATGATGATGCCGACGACACTGGTCCCGACGAGACGCTCGCAGATGAGCGTGCCGTGGTCGGGTGTTTGGAGCGCAGGCAGCGCCTTGACGCTCTCCCACGTGGCGGGCACCACCTCCTCCCCGTCCACCTCGCTCCGCTCCGCCAGCGGCTCGGCGTCGCTCTCCTGAGCCAGAAGGGCCTTGCTCTCCGCCGACATGGTTGCGCGGCCGTCTATCCCAAGCCCACTGACAGCCGGGTTCGGACTTTTGGCGGGGTGCGGTATCTACTTCATCCACAGGGGTGGGGGGTATGGTCCCCTGGCCCCTCCCTCTAGTGCCGCCGAGCCCACAGCGCCATGAGGTAGGAGCCCGCGCCCGTGTCGCAGAGCTGCTGCACCGCTGCTCCAAGCTCCAGGCAGGCTGAGGCTTTTGCAAAAAGAATTATTAAGCGCGAGCCTCGCTCACAGCACACGGACACGACAAGGGCGCGGGTGCGCGCCCTTTCTGCCTCCCATCCTTCTATTTTCTTGGCGTACCTGTGTTAGTGCCAGTGCCTGAGCCCTTGGTGTCGAGGTGTCGAGGCCCGGTGTCGAGGGTGTCGAGCTGCTGTCGAGGCCTGTCGAGGCCTGTCGAGGCCTGTCGAGGCTGATACCATGCTTGCCAGTGTCGAGGGGTGTCGAGGGGTGTCGAGGGTGTCGAGGGTGTCGAGCGTGTCGAGCGTGTCGAGCGTGTCGAGCGGGTGTCGAGTGTTGTCAAGGTGTTTAGCGTCTAAGGCTTAGTTACTAAGGTGTCGAGGTATCCAAGGTGCCGGCAGGATGCAGTTGCAGCCCAACAAAACTTGGGCTGCAGCTGCAAAGCTGTTTCATCCCTTAGTTGCAGCCTCTCAGTTGCACCCCTGTTGATGTAGCACAACCTGTGAGCACAACCAGTATACTCTGTGGACATTTGAGGACATCAAGCTCACTAGTGCCAGGAGTCATTGCCACTGCACAAGGTGCTGTGCAGGCGCAGCACACCTAAGGCTACAGCACACCCCATGCAGCAGCGTCGCCGCTGCAGCGTCGTCGCCCCTGCAGCGTCGCCGGCGCACAAAGCGCAACTGACCACAGCGCTCCTTTCACAAGGCTGGTGCCATGAGTCAGTGGACATTGCCACTGCACAAGGTGCTGTCCAGCAGCTAAGGGCTACAGTACCCCATCGCAGCAGCGTCGCCGCCGCTGCCAGCGTCGCCATTGCAGCGTCGCCGGTGCACAAAGCGCATGTGGACCACAGGTCCGCACTCATGGCACAAGCTCACTGGTGTGAGGATTCATTGCCACTGTACAAGGTGCTGTGCAGCACCTGAGGGCTACCTGAGTACTGCCATGGTTGCTACATTGGTCATTGCAGGGGTGCAACTGAGCTGCAACTTGAGCTAGAACTTTTGAGAGGCTGCAACTGAGGGATGAAAGTACTGCCAGCCAAGTTTGATTGCTGCTGCAACCCTGATTTTCTAACTCTGTGACTCCAATGGGTCTACGTCTCTGAAGTGTTAGGATCATCAGAGGTGTCGAGGGGTGTCGAGGGGTGTCGAGGGGTGTCGAGGGGTGTCGAGGTGTGTCGAGGTGTGTCGAGGTGTCGAGTTTGGCACCTTGACACCGGCGAGCGTGGTACCAGCCTAGATGGTGTCGAGGGGTGTCGAGGGGTGTCGAGTTGGTCGAGTTGGCATGGGGGTGTCGAGGTGTCGAGTCGGTGTCGAGGTTTGGTGTCGAGGTGTCGAGGCCAGGGCTCAGGCCAGTGCGCGCCAGTCCGTGCCCAGTGTCGGCGATTGTAAAATTCTTTCTTTCTGGTGTACCTGTGTTAGTGCCAGTGCGCGCCAGTCCCGTGCCCAGTGTCGTCGTGCGAGGGAGTTTGCTTGTAAAATTCTCTCTGTGGGCGTGCTATGCGACAAAGAGGCAACGACCTCTGAGTAGACGTGGTGTCAGTGGGATACTGAAAACGTTCTTTTTTTCGTGGGATATGTTATATACATATATTATGTCAAAGGTTCGCTTGCTATGTTCCTTGCCCGCGCCTCCTCGGAACGACTCTCAATGCACGGCGTGCCGCTTTCGTCATCGCGTTTTTCACGCAACGAGGTGCTTTCGTTGGTGAGCTGACCCGTCCGTGGGTGTCGCGTTCAGGAAGGTGAGACCGTTTGTCGGTGAGCCCCTTTTGCCTGTGTGCTGGCCGATCACGCTGTATGTTGACAAGCTCGCGTGCTGGCTGCTTCGCAGAAGCGGGATTGCCGTTAGAGACGACTCTCTCTCTCCCAACTGTGAACTGGCAGGCGGAGCGTGTACGGAGGCTGTACAGATCGCCCACGCCCGATCCCGAGCATCGGCACGGGAAGGCGCCCTTGTCGGGCGAGTGCACGACGCTCGCGGATGGTCCGGGCGGGCTCGTGCGGTGCCACGGCCTACGTGTCGCGGGTCGCGTCCAGCCCTAGTCTCCAAGCAGCTTGCGAACGCGCGCCTTGCCCTTCCATCGGAAGGCGTTGTTCACTACCCACGAGAACCACGAAAACCTCCTTTCCTGGGCCTCGGCTGAATTCCCAGACCACCAAACTCTGACGGTCTTGTTGTCTTTTCGCGGTGGAATTGCGGCAATCGCCTCAGCATGCATTCTCTCATGCACCTCGCGATCCCACTGCCACAGCAGCCTCTCGCCACTGCTCCCGTTACCCCCCCCGTTGCCAACCAGCGCCGCCCAAAGATCGGACATTTGCCAGCAGCCTGAAAGATGTGCATTGCCCTCCGGTCTTGTCAGCCGCGTTCGTGCTGGCCGCCAGCTTGGCATCAACCAGCGGTAGGTCATCAATCGTGTGCGCATCATCGCCCTTTGCATGCGATCTGGATCGTACGTCAGCGCCTTCCTGCGCGCGGCCCGGTCATTCTTGTTTCGCCCAAAGTCAGCATCGAGAGATATGAAGTTGTCGTGTCGCATCGGGGTGATGTAAGAATAGGCGCACGCGCCACCCAGCTGGCGCCAGCACGTGCCGTTGGTTACCATGGGCTTCATGTGGCACACGTGGCCGAAGATTCGATGCTCTAGAAGGCCGCACCACACTTGATCGAGACCCGGGCCAGTGTGGCTGCGATCGTCTATCTTTGATAGCGCGTGCTCATGCACGACCACCCATGCATCGCGGCTGAAGAGGGGCGCCTTAATCTCGACAAACGGCTCAGTCCGCACGGAACAATGTTCGTCTGCCTTCTGTCTGGACTCATACATGAGTTGGGGAAGGCGCTCTGCGGTCGCAGGGTGCATGCCGTTACCTGCTCCAATGGGCGCAGGGGCGATGAGCGGCACGCCGATCGTGGCCTGCAGTCGCAGCAGCGGTACGAGCTGGAATTGGCCGGGAGCGACTCGCATATCGTCGTCGATGCACATGATGTGCGAGAAGGGTTGGACGGCTGCCGTGGTTAGCACCCGCTTCCAGAACAGAGTCTTGAAGCCTGGCACGGCGAAGGCGTATATCGAGGGGTGCAGGCGGCGTGCTCTCGACACCACCTTGTCAGCCCCCTGTGAGTAAAGGTTGAGCGCCACACGCGCCCATGAGTGTGTCTCCACCAGCTGCACGAGTGAGGCGTACAGGTAAGCAAAGCGAGGCGATACATGTGACGTGGTGGTGGCGAGCAGCAAGCACAGCGCCGTACCGTTCCCGAGCAAACTCTCGTCAGAAGTGCAGCTGAAGCGGGGGCTGTTCATTGTCGCGGTGTGCGGTGGGTGTGCGCGCGGTTTTGGACAGACTCACGCACGATTCTGCCGGCAAGTTTTGTTTTTTCGCAAAGTAAACCCATTTCAAGTCGGCTAAGTGTTGTTCTGTCGCCGCGTGTGAACAAGGAGGTATTTCCTTCTCAATACCAATAACAACACAAGGATCAAGGTCCCTCGCTGTGTGCTGTGAAGCCCTTTGGTGCGGTGGAGTGGAACGTGGACGAACGAATGGTGCGTGGTGCTTGCGCGTCGCAGTGTCTCGCACCTCACGCTTGAGGCTTGTCGCACCGCCTGCTTTCGCATCCTGGGCCGCGGCTCATCGTGAAAGCAACGCTGGCCCCGCTGGCGCGCTGCTGTTAGCGGGGTTAAGATGTGCTTAAATTTGAATAACCTCTCCGCGGCGCGACACCCCTGACCCCTTGCACTGTGCACATGGCCCTACTGCTCCGGGCCCACTGCGCAGCACGCGCACGTCTTCCTCTCGCCTTCCGCGACGGTCTCGCTCTCGAGTCCAAGGTCGCTCATCTGGTCGCTCACCGCGCCATGCGAGTGCTCGTGCGCCGGTAAGCTCCGCGCGGCGCGCCTCACCGAGCGGACGACGCTGTCGCAATCCGAGGGCGTCCAAATGAGTCCTCCGTCAAGGAGCTCCACCTGGTACGGCGACACGAACCCCTGCGGCATCGACTCGTCCCTGTAGTTGCGCGTGAGCACCTCGCCCCGCGACCACGTGTCGGGCCCGGTGCGGCACTCGACTTGCTCGCCGACGGCGAAGCGGAGCGCCTCCTCCTTGGCCGCCTATGCACAGCGGCAAGTGTGAAGAGACGCTGCCGACCAGCTGGCTCGCCGAACGGCCCCTCCCTCCCCGCCATGTTCTCGGGCGTGGCGAGGCATCGGTTGAAGGAGGCGGCCAGCTCCTCGCCGTCCAGGTTCTTGCCGATGAAGACCATCTTGCTCTCGCGCGGCTCATCGTCGCCCCTGCGGGAAGGGTGCGCAAGCGTGGGGCGCGGAGACGTGCGGCCCGGGCGGCGTTGCCCGCACAGCCCTTCCGAACCAGGCGTCTGCGGTGCCCGCGGTGCGTGCATGCCTTCAGGCGAGGCTGTTCCTCGGGCGCGTGTCGGAGGCGTCCCGGAAGAGTGTGTGTCGGAAGGGAGTCTCTCGGAAGGGACTCGCGCCAGGGCTCGTCAAAGCTGCCGCTGAAGGTCATGTGGACGGCGTGGTAGACGAAGCGCTGCTCGGCGTGCGCGAGGTGGAGCACGCCCTTCATCCGGTACATGTCGCCCCCCCTCTCCTTGAGCAGCCTCGAGATCCAGCCCTTGACCAGGCCGTGGTCGAGCTCGCCCTTGTGCACCTGCGGGTGCGGCGTTCGAGCGGTGACGCGCCATGCGCGTGCCGCGAGGGTCGTTGCGGGGCGGCGTGCGGTGAGGGCGCGGGGCGGTGAGAGCGGAGGAGCGGGTCGGCGCCCGCGTGGCCTCACACAGCCATGCGCAGACGTGAGCGGCGGGGGAGGGAGCGAACGAGTGGAGGTGGCTCGGAGGCGGCAGTGGCGTCCACAAGTGGCTCGCAGAGTGCCGCGCACCGTGCGCATGTGTCGCGCGGCGCCCTGATCGAGGCTCACGCTGGTGACGCTCGCGTCGTGCTTCGTCTCCCCCCCCTTTGCGTCGAGCAGCCCCGGGCTCACCTACACTCGGCCCCTCCGGGGTGATCTCGCACGATCTCCGATCTCGCCGGATCTCCCGCCGGCTCAGTGACGAGCACAGCGCCGGCCTCGCCTTGAGCGCGCGCTGCAGGTCGAAGCCGTGGATGTGTAGCACCGACCCGACCGACACATCGGAGTGGGCGCACCTGCGGCCGTGTGACGCGTGTCGTATGGCCGAGCGTGTGCCGCAGGTGGGGCGGCGGCGGAGAGCACGAAGTGTCTCGGAAGTGTCCCTCGCGCCTCTGGATCGGCGCGAAGCCGTTGATGCCTCTCAGCCGCGCCTCGATGCGGACGAGGTCCTCCTCCGTGACGAGGTCCGTCTTGTTGAGCAGCAGCCGGTCGGCGAAGGCGACCTGCGCCACCGCCTCGTTGACGACCCCCTCCGGCTTCACGGCGTCGAGGTGCCGCTCGACGTGCTTCGCGTCGACGAGGGTCACGATCCCGTCGAGGCGCGCAAAGGCCCGGATCCTCTCGTGCTTGAGGAAGGTTTGCGCGACAGGCGCCGGGTCAGCCATGCCGGTCGTCTCGATGATGATCCCATCCAAGTGCAACTCGCCCGACGTGACGCGGCGGTAGAGCTTCTGCAGGATCTTGATGAGGTCCTGCCGCACCGTGCAGCAGATGCAGCCGTTCAGGACCTCGACAATCTCCTCGTCCCGAAAGTGGGCGTTCTTCTGGATGAGCTTGTCGTCGATGGAGGTGTCGCCAAACTCATTCTCGACGATGGCAATCTTCTTTCCATGCGTCGCAGAGAGGATGTGGTTGAGCAGCGTCGTCTTGCCGCTCCCCAAGAAGCCAGTCAGAATCGTGATCGGAACTCTCGCGTCGTCGGCGGCCTCGGCGTCGGGCATGGTGTTCTCGCTAATGCGGAGCCGGGTGTCGATCGGTATCGGTGTCGCTAGCTGCCGAGCGTCGGGTATCGCTAGTGCGGCTGGAATATTTGTTCGCTGGGTATCGCACCGTCGGCTGGGTATCGCACCGTCGGCTGGGTATCGCTAGTGCGGCCCGGGCCGCCGTCTCCACGGCGCGAATATATTTGTAGTATGTTTGGGAAAAAGAAATGCGAAATTTCCTCCAAACCTCTTTTAATTATGGTACCCCACGGAGGGTGAACCTTCTTTTGTAGAAGGCTGGGATTGAGAGCAGTCTCGCTCTCAATCCTAGAAGTCGAAGGATTGTGAGCAGCACTCCTCGCAATCGGTAGCATCTCTGTGCGATAGTGAGCACCCACGCTCGCAATCCTACGTCTTCTAGGACTATCCCATGACGAGAACGACCAACGCACCGGCCGCCTGGCCGAAAAACGTGGGTTCGAATTCGTATAAAGGGTCGACCAGGTTTCGAACTGGGGGCCTCCCGCTCGCGGGGCGGCACTTGGAAACGAGGGGAAGCCGGCGGGCGACCTCTATAGCATACCGGGGGAAAGCCCGAAGTCGGCCAAGCACTTGGAGCACTTGGAGTGCAGTTATCAACCTCACATCCAGGGCCGAGAAGGACGTCATTAGTACGAAAACCTCAGAAGGCCAACATGGCGCATGGGCGCAGAGAGAACATCCCCCGAGAGGACAAAAAGAAAAGGCTTCGCACCCCCTCCTTGCGCAGTGACCCTCGCTAAGTGTCGCCGTTATCGCATATCGGGGCACGCTATCCTGCGCAGGCAGGGCAAGCGGGCGGGACGCAGTCCCATCTCTCCTGTGTACGGGTGGGTTCTGTCTCCAGTCTCGGCGCGCTCACAATCCGAGCAAACTCTAGGGTTGCGAGCAGCTTAGCTCACAATCCTAGCAACATGCCTCCGATTGTGAGCAGCACTCCTCGCAATCCTAGAACTTTCGCCGAATGCGAGCGACACCGCCCACAGTCCTACGTGCTACGACTTCTAGGATTGCGAGCGGGTCCCCTCGCAATCGGTGCGATTGTACTGTTTGGATTGTGAGGAGACCCTCCCGGCGCGCTCACTCACAAGCGCTCGCGGCTGGAGCGATTTGGGAGCGCCCTCTGTGCGCTGCTAGCAGTCCTTGGATCTTTGGTACGATTGTGAGCGCAGCCGCTCATAGTCCTACCAGATGTAGGATTGCGAGGCTCCTGCTCGCAATCGGAGGTATGTTGCTAGGATTGTGGGCTAATAAGCTGCTCGCAACCCTAGAGTTTGCTCGGATTGTGAGCGCGCTGGTAGTAGTCGTGGGCATCACCAGACACCAGTCACATTGATTGTGAGCGGAGCTGCTCATAGTCCTAGAAGACGTAGGATTGCGAGCGTGGGTGCTCACTCTCGCACAGAGTTGCTACGTACGATTGCGAGGAGTGCTGCTCCCAATCCTTCGACTTCTAGGATTGAGAGCGAGGCTGCTCTCAATCCTAGCCTTCTACAAAAGAAGGTTCATTCACCCCGTGTTTGTTATGACCCCCCCCAATGAACACACCAGTGAGGGAGGGCGAGACGATTGAGGGGTCCCGTACCACGCGGAATCGACACTACCCGGGTACAACCTGGCGAGGTACTTCCAGCCTGCTGTGGGAACAGCTGACGCAGTCTCGCCGAGGCTCGCCCCAGCAGGTACAACTGTATCCAGTGCTCAAGTGCTCAAGGTTCACCCCCCCGGAGCGTCAAGGACGTGCCCGCCCTTTAGCTCACGCGCCTTTTCTAGTTCGCCAGCGAACATGCTGGACGACGAGACAGATCAACCGGCCGCCGCGTGCTGCTCGTGGCCGTGGTGTATTCGCGCACAAGGCGCAAAGGCCAGCAAGGCAACCGCACTAGCACAGCAACGGTGGCTGGCTGGCGATGCCGACTGGAAAAATGCCGAGGAGTCGTCCACCTTTGCGCGGAACTGCGACATCAGTCAGACACACCTGGTCAAGGCGGCCGATGCAAGGTGGATCTCCTCCTCCCACTGCTTTCAGTGCGCTCTCAACACCATGCATGAGTGCGACGATTTTGGCGATGACGTACACACCTTCCCAGACATTCGCAGGAAGTGGCTGTCTGCAGAGGTGAGCGGCAGCGTTCACTACCCGCGCGTCCGCTACATTGTGGACTATCCGCCGAACACGCCGCGACTGCCCTACCATGACCACCCCGGCGGCGAGGAGTACATCGTCTTTACCGGCCGCTTCGCGGACACAAACTTCGCGCAGGCCTCCACCGCTGCCGCCACCGCCTCGACCGCCATCCTCAACCGGCGCCCACCCCGCCGCAGGTAGAGGCACCCGCGCTGGTGCGCTACCCCATCGGCACGCACCACGCGGCGATGACTCAGCCCTTCGAAGGGCGCACCGAGATCCTCACCTGGTGGGGCTTGATGCAAGCCACCTCCGCCACCGAGGTTGCGCAGCACGTGGCGCTCTGCCCACGCCTCCTCGTTCCACGGCAGCGCGAGGCCAGCTGGATCGACGGGCCACGGCGTGGGTGGGCCATCAGCAAGGACGGGCTCGAGACTCGGATCGAGCGCTGGGCACCACACGCGAAGAAGGCGCGCCTCCCAACGCCGAAGGCAGGGTTGGATCCAGCCGGTCAACACCTGCCTGTGTGTCCAGGCGCTTTTGTTCCGGAGACCTATCAAGGAGATCTACCTGCTGCGCGGGTCGCTGTCGGCGGCGCAGCGCGTGGAGGGTGCCACGGCGGGCGAGGCGTTGGGTCTATTGGCGGAGGGAGATTGGATCTGCTTTGCGCACGAGGTCTCGCAGGTCCCCCACAGCCGCCGCCCATAAACTCGCCAAGGCTGTGGGGGCGTCTGTTCATACGCTTGCCATAATGTAGGTGGATGCCGCCGCCGGGCCCGACGGCGCGACGTTGCTCGTCAAGGAGCTGCTGCCCTACGACAGCTGGCGGCGGCACGTGCTGCAGGACGTCAGGCAGTCCTGGCACAGCTGGTCGGGTGCGACAGGCCGCGCGTCTGGCCGTGGCCACATGCCCGCTGCCTCACTCGTCGAGCCGAGCAAGTCGTCGCAGAGGAATCACCTTCGCTTCTCACGATCGCGATCGACCTCCTCTGTGGAGGAGGGGGGGAGTGTTGCGCCCGGCACAGTAGTTCCAGTAGCCAGTAGCAGCCCAAGCAGCGCTTGCGCGCGATCATGAGACCCATGAGCATGACTGTATCTATAAAAGGGTTACGCGGGTTGCCCGGCGCGCCCGCTTCGGATTCTCAGCTACATGGAAATTTCATGTTCGCGGCGTGCATTCATTCGCAATAACTTAAGGAATAACGGATATGCCAGGGTCGCTGCAGCCTGCACGCTGCCACGGACGCTGCCGACGCTGGACGGCGCGAGGACGGACAACAATGCCGTCTCGTACGGCTCTACGTACTACGATACACCCCCCCGCCGCCCCGGGCGCCGCACACATCCGATGTGTGGACTACTATTACACAACGATCTCTCTCCCCCGGCGCCTTTTAGTCCCCAAACACACACTCTCTTTCAGCAGAAGCCTGGCCCCAGCGGCGTCACGCGCACGCCTCTCTCGATCATGCGGCAGCGGTGCTTGAGCAGGCGCGGCGCGGCCGCCGAAGCGTTGTTGCGCCAGACCGGGCTCCACAGCCGCTCGGCGACCGCGCTCGCTCGAGGGAAGGCGCGCGGCTCGAGGTTGGTGCGGTCGATGTGCTCGCCCCACAGCGGCGCCTCGCCGCCGAGCACCTTGGCAGCCTTGGCCGAGCCACGCAGGTCGAAGCAGTGGCACTTGCCGTCCCGCCACGGGCCCGAGGGGCACGAGCACGCGCAGGCCGCCTCGTGGCCGGCGGCGTCGTACACGCACGTCTTGTTGGTCAGCGGCTCGCGCGCGTATGCCTCCTCCCACGCGTTGAGGCTGGCTGTGCCGTCCAGGTACCAGCCGAGCGTGACAAGTGCCTCGAAGCCGCTGTGGCCGGTCGGCCACGTGGCGTCGGGCCGGCCGAGGTAGCCCTGCCCGGTGATGGCGCTCAGGTTGGCCCAGTTCCACGCCGGCTGGAGCCACTGCTCAACCACCAAGTCTGACGGCAGACGCGCGCTGGGCGGCGTGGGGTTGGCGGCCGTCGGGCCGTAGTGGTCCATCGCCTCCTGCCACGCCACCGCCGTCTTGCCCGACTTTGCGACGAGCGCCGTGAGCCTTCCGATGTACTTCGCGGTGAGCTCCTTGAAGCCGGCGTCGTCGCGCGCGATCCCGCGGCGCTGCATGTACGAGACGACCGTCGCGCTGCTGATCCAGCACGCAAAGTCCACCTCACGTGTCCAGCAGAACGACTCGGCCGGCGGCACAATGTGTGGCCTCATGTCGGCTCCATGAGCAGTGCGTGTGTGCGCAGTGCGTGTGTGTCTGTGTGTGTGTGTGTGTGCGTGCGCGTGCGTGCGTGCGTGCGTGTGCGTGCGTGCGCGTGCGTGCGTTCCGTCCTCGGTGCTGCGAGGTGTGTTGAGACTGAAGCCCACCTCGTCGGCGCCGATGTGCATGTACTCGTCCGGGAAGAGGGAGGCAACCTCGGCGAAGAGCGCCTCGAGCAGCGCGAACGCCGCGTCCGAAGTGGGGTCGAGCGTCTGACCACGCATCCCACAGGACGTGTCATGGACATGCCCCCGCCGCGGTCCAAGGGGAAGCGAACGGTGACGGTGCCTGGCAGCGGGGCAGCGTGGCGTTGGGGTAGCCGACCGACCAGGAGGTTGCGTGGCCCGGCGAATCCAGCTCGGGCACGACGCGGATCCCGCGGTCCGCCGCGAAGCCGACGATCGTGCGCACGTCGTCCGCGGTGTAAACCAGCGCTGGCGAGTATGCGCCGCGTGCCAACGCGGGCGTCGCCTGCATTCAGAGCTGTCCTTTCCCCTTGATTCACACCGCTTCTCCTTGAGGCGCGAGCGTCGCCGCGGGAAGGACTGCGTGTCGGAGATGTGCTAGCAACTAACTCCTCGGGCCTTGGTGAGCAGCGGGAAGGACTGCGAGTCGGAGATGTGCTAGCAACTAACTCCTCGGGCCTTGGTGAGCAGCGGGAAGGACTGCGAGTCGGAGATGTGCCAGTGGAGGACGTTGAGCTTGTTGAACGACATCGCGTCGAGCATCGCCGTGATGGCCTCGACCGGCAGGTAGTGCCGCGCCGAGTCGAGCATCAGCCCGCGCCACCGGAAGCGAGGCGCGTCGCTGATGGCGAGCCGCGACGCGTTGATGACCGCCGAGCATTTGCCGCGCAAGCCGCTCCCTCGTGACACGAGCTGTGAGAACGTCTCCAGGCCGTGCAGTGCACCGTACACAGTGTGCGCGCGCAGCGTCGCCGCGGGCGGCGCCCCCTCGATCGACAGCGCGTAAGACTCATCGGTGCGGCGCGAGAGCGTGAGGTCGTCGGAGGTCACGTAAATGGCAAGCGCAGTAAGCGTCGGGCTCGCGGCATACGCGGCCACGGACTGGTGGAGATGCGGTCGCGCTGCTGGAGTGAAGATTTTGGCCTCCGTCCGATGGATAGCTCGTCGCAGTCGCTCAACCGCGGGCGGCGAGAGCGTCGACTTCACGCTCATCTTGAACGCAGCCTCCGAGAGGCACAAGAACGCGCCGGATGCGCTGGCGTTGGCCGGCGCGGGCCAGAGCCCGGAGAGCGCGTCACCAGGCTGCGGTCCGAAGGGGACGTCAAAGGCCTGTACCGCCGAGCATAGCACTGCGAACACCACCATCAACCCACTTTTGGCGTGGATGGCTGACGTAGAATAAAAAATCGTGAAGTTGCCTGGTGTTCATTATAGCTCTTCGTAGAACACCCTCGGGTTAGACCGCCTGGTGTTCTACTCATGTATGTATGTAGAAAGATGAACAACAGAGGGGGCAACCCGTGTTTACTTTACAACTACTCCCCCTAGGGGTAGGGCTCTCTAGCCCGTAGCCCGATGCGCGATGCCGATCATCCGGCCCGCTGGGTGCGCTTCTTAGCTCCCCATTAATGACTACACTCCAAGTGCTCCAAGTGCTCCAAGATGACGCCGCAAAGGCTGTGCCGACGGCCTGCTGCCGCCCTCGCCGGCGGGTTGGACTCGCACAGCAACGCAGCGAAGCACAGCCACCGCACGGCGCAGCCCTCGCCCTCTGGCTGCGCCGGGCAGCTCGAAGCCGCGCTCTTGCGCAAGGCCAAGGGATCCGCCGTAAAATAAAGAGACAGAAAAGAGAAAAGGGCCAAAAGCAGCAACGTCCCCGACCTCCGTGCCCCCCAGGCCGTTCTTCTTGTTCTTTTTTTTGGGCTGTCTGCTTTCTTTCTTTCTTTTTCTGAAAAAATCAATTGCAACCCGACGGTCGACGGCCGACGCTGGAGGACGCCAACAATTGCAACCCGATTGCGCCGAGGCGCCCGCCTGCGCTTCGAATCACAGCTAGACGCGCACACACAACCAACACATGTCACCGATCCGCCGCGACACCGCAACATTATTCGCCTCTGAGCGGCACCTCCGCACAACGCCACAAAAGCCTGCATGCGATTTCCGCCCCGACAGCCTCTCCGCCCTAGTCTCCGCCCCGACAGAAGTCAATAAATCAGCACCGCCGCCCCGTCTTAAGCGCCGCGGCGAGGAGGGCACGCGACGCGCCACTGCCCCGCCTCACACCACGGCGAGCAGCGCCATCATCGCCAGCGTCGAGCCTACTCGGCGAGCGGGTGCGGCGGGTGAGGCGGGAGCACGCGGCGGCGCGGCCTCCTCCTCCGCTGCGGCGCACCGAGCAGCGCCCGGCCCTCGTTGAGAGGGACCTGCCGCGAGGGGGGGCGAGGTTGAGAGATTGGTAGGATGTCTGCTGCGAGGGGCATGTCTGTTGCGAGGGGCATGTCTGCGGCCCGCGCCTCTGCGACGGCGTCCGCAAACCCGTCGATGGCGCGCCTCACGGTGCCGTCGATGCCCGCCGACACCCCGGCAGCCGCAGCGGTGCGGCATGCCCACTTCGGGGAGGTGACGGGAGCCTTGGCGGCGGCGGCGGCGGCGGCGGCGGTGGCGGCTGCGGCGGCGGCAGCGGCGACGGCTGCGGCGGTGGCGTCTGCGTCAGCGGCGGCGGCGGCGGCGGCCGCGGTCTGGGCGGCGACGTCGCTGTCTTGCGAGACTCTGCACTCATCTGGCGAGGAGGAGCCTGCGGGCGGCGTCGGGGAGGAGAGGAGGGGAGGAGCGGTGGGGAGGAGAAGTGGGGCGGGGAGGGGGGAGGCGCGTGGGGAGATCGGGGAGGAATGGTCCCACCCACACCTCCGCCGGAGCCGCCCGAGGGCGAGCCCGAGCCGTCGGCCAGCGTCCTGCGGATCGGGTCGACGCAGGCCGCATCCAGCGCGACAGCGATCGCCGATCCGTGGAACTCGGCGCCGTCAAAGAGCAGCGCCGACCGGGCGCTCGCGCCGCTCTCAAACGTGATTAGTGCGGTCGTGCCGTCTAGCAGGACCTTCTCGACGTGGCCGTGGAAGGCTGCGGCGGGCGCGGGAGGGCACGGTGGCTGCGGACTGTGGAGGGCAGCGGCTGCTAGCTTAGAATTACACGAGTGTCGTGTCGTGTTCTGGTCCCGCACCAAAGTAGGTGGAGAGGTCCTCCCGCGAGGCGTCCGCCGGCAGGTTCTCGACGAGGACTGTGCAGCTATCTGCCATCGCACAGGCAAAGGCGCGCCGAGATGTGTGTGTGTGTGTGTGTTCACTCACGCCGCGCCGAGAGCTATAAAAGGAACTAGTTTCACTCGGATTCACTCCTATGCACCTTCGGTGAGGGTGCATTGGCGCGTAAAAGGAGAGTCACGGAATCGCGCGCGCCTCCACCAGGAAGGGCTACGCAGTATCCCTGACATCCCAATGCGCAGTGGAGGAGGAGCGAGGGCAGGTGGCCCGGAAAGCCCAAACGACAAAGCGACGAAACAACCCGTCATGGCCCTGCGACCGCGCATCCCATTTTAAACCGCATGGTCAGCGCGCGCGCGTAAAATCGCGATTCGCGTGCCTTGTAATTCGCTCTGACTTCATCGAGAGGCCTCGCGTGTGAGTGAGGTGTGTGAACTGCGTTGATGTCGGCGTCTCGACGTGTGTGTGTGATGTGATGGGTTCCGCTGCCGGCGTCTCGCGACTCGCGACTCGCGTATAGCCCCCGCACGTGTGTCCTTTGTTTTGGTTGGACACTCATACAAAACCTAACAGCTCTAGAACAGCGCGGCTCCGGTCGCCTGTTGTTACCAGCTACCACTACTAGGTGCGGCGGTTTAATTAAAGTGGTGGACAAATGCGAGTGTACACATGCCCTAGTCCGAGAACGCCCGCCCAGCCGCCCAGGACGCCCACATGCATCCGCGCTTTTGAATGCCCCTGTTCGTCCGCCTCTCCCTCTCGGCCCGCGCCCTGCCCCATTTTCTCCGTCCGTGCCCCGTCATTCGCGCTGGAGGCCTCCATCACCCACTCCGACCTTCGCTGCCTGGCCGCGATCCCCGATGGGGGTCACGCTGGGGATTCATCGCATTCCCCAGCACCAGGCCGCGCCCTTCTTTTCCCACCTTCAATTGCAACGCACTTCTTAGGCTCAATGTCATCCAGCTCGATGATGAAGATGCTTGCTGCTGCATTGAGCACGAAGTCCAAGTGGGTCTCTGCTGTGCTCAACAGTAGCGGGATCGATAAAACAAGGAAGGTTGTGGTAAGGACGTTCACCAGAGACCAGAGAAAGATGCGCACACTGAGGCCCATGCGATTCACAGAGACGATCTTATTCGCGCCACGCTTGTCAGCAATACTCAGGGTTCCTCCCCGGTTACAGGTAGCGCGCGCAAAGAGCCAGAATTTGAACATGGTGTTGTCATAGACAAGGAAGCCACCTTTCTGCACGATGAGCATGATCTGTATCACAGCGCCTGTAAAGTAGAAGAGCAAAGTTTGGCTGCTGGTGAAGTCCGGCTTGGAAGTGTAGACGGCATATGCATAATAACCCATCAGCAAGCACTGGCCAGCTCCCATCGCAACCACATTCAGCATTGGCTCGGATAAATCTTGGTACCTGTCAGCCGCCTCGCCTTCTTGCGGCGGCGGCGGCGGCGGCGGCTCTGCCTGCTCCTTGGGCTGCTCTACGGGATCCTTATGATGCGGTCGAACTCTACTGGGCCGCTTCCCTACGGGATCCTTCTCCACCCACGACTGCTGCCATTTGTTTCGCTGTAACTGCTGCCATTCGATTAGCAGTGTGGCCAGTGGCGCGGCCGCAAGTACTCCACTGTAGCCTATAAAGATGTCGAGCGTCTTGCTCTGGTTGAGCATCATGAAACCGGCAAAGAAGATTGAGTTGATCGCAAAGAAGAAGGGAGAGATGACGCTCCGCATGTCTTTCCACACGTCATACAGGTACTGGAGATTCAGGTACATGTCTTTCCACACGTCATACAGGTACAGCACGGAGAAAGGTAAGCCTCCGGTGAAGCAGCTTGTCTGCTCTGCTCTTGCATCAGTCGACTCAGTGGAACCCTACGTTGAGCCACAGATGCAGCATAAAGAAACAATCCGCCGTGCAAAGCGCAAGCGATATAAATCACGATCCACGCAGACGTGTACGTCTCTGTGTCGTTCACCGCCAGCGACACATTGCCATTGACGGCCATGAACGGATCAAGGACAACAACACAACAAGCCGCGTCCGACAATCCAGCGGCAGCCCAACGGAACGATGACGAGAGCTGTTGTGGTGTGCGTTGGGCCAGTCTTTTGGCGGAGATCTGCAGGTGTCAGGTGGCGTTTATTTTTGCTTGGGAGGAACTCATGATGAAATTCTGGAAAAACCTGACCGGCCCCTGCGGTGCCCCTACCTACCTACCTACCTGCCACGGCGCAAGCGAAGGCGGACCACACCGTTGGCACGTGTGTCCGCACCTCCGCCGCCCTGCCCTCCGTCCGGCACCTCCGGCGGGCGGCCGAGCGCCGCCAGGATCTCGTCGCAGCGGAGCACGACGGCGCGGGGAGCGAAGGTCGGCGCGGCGGCGGCGTGCAGCGCCTCCACCTCGAGCGAGACGCCCTCCGCCCGCAGCCTCTCTACCAGGGAGAGGTACAACCGTTTTTTTAGTATACACGGCTCTTACGAACATTCCCGTAGGAGGACTCTGTTGACAGGGTTTGCGAAGTTTAGTGCACACACACACACTCACGCCGCGCCGAGAGCCTGAAAAAAAGCGTCCCGCGACGAAATAACGCGTCATGGCCCTGCGACCGCGCCTCCCATTTTAAAGTTTTTTTAGTATACACGGCTCTTACGTACATTCCCGTAGGAGGACTCTGTTGACAGGGTTTGCGATGAGAAGCGACCCGATGGGTTTGTCGGAAAGAAAGAAACAAAACAGAGAAACAAGGGGATGGGTTTGTCGGAGGTTAGTGGTTGCTCGAAGTTCGCGCCGGGAGCACACAGCGTGTCTGCGGCCAAAGGATTCCACCTCGAGAACCTCGAGCCAGGACCTCGAAAGAACAATCATGTCTAACGATGTTGTGCAGGCGATAGAGTCACTCCCCATCGGTCGATTCCACCATCTACACCTCGCGAGGCAGATCTGCGCGTGGGCCTGCTTTGCGCTGTGCCAGGAGTGCGCAGCTTACATCTTTGATGCTCTGGAGCAACAGTGGTTGCTGAGCGCCGATGATCTGGGCTACTTTGCGTCGGCCTTCCCTGCGGGCTGCGTGGTCGGCTCGCTCGCCTCCGCGGCCTTGCTCGACCGCTTCGGCCGACGGCCAGCGCTGGTCGCTGGGACAGCTGCCGCTGCGTTCTGCGGTGCCCTCGCAGCCGCCTCGCCACGCTTTGAGGCGCTGCTGCTGCTGCGTGGCGCACAGGCGGCGTCGTGGGCGTACGCACAGGCGGCGGCCACCGCGTGGTACGCCGAATTCCTCCCGACGGCCGGTCGTGGGCCGCTAATTGCTGCTGTCTCAATCGGGTGGCCTGGTGAGAGCATCGGTCACGCCACCAGCCTCTCGTCCTCAATCTCTCTCTCTCTCTCTCTCTCTCTCTCTCTCTCTCTCTCTCTCTCTCTCTCTCTCTCTCTCTCTCTCTCTCTCTCTCTCTCTCTCTCTCTCTCTCTCTCTCCCTCTCTCTCTCCCTCCCTCTCTCACTCCCTCTCTCTCCCACTCTCTCTCCCTCTCCCTCCCCACCTCCTCCCCTGCCCCCTCCAGTCGGCCGAGGGGTCGCCATCAGCCTCGCCGCGGCGCTGAGCTGGCGCGCAGCCGCTCTCTCCGACCTCCACGAGCGTGTCACGATTGCATCACGTGTGCGACGGTCGCTACAGGCGCGCGCTGCTCCTCTCCTCCTCCGCCGCGCTGCTCCTGCTGAGCGGCTTGTACGCCCTCGCGCCCGCCTCGCCACGCTACCTCCTCGCTGCCGGGAGGAGCACGCACGCACGCACGCACGCACACACACACTCATAGATATGGAGAGAGAGCGAGAGAGAGAGAGCGAGAGAGCGAGAGAGAGAGAGAGAGAGAGAGAGAGAGAGAGAGAGAGAGAGAGAGAGAGAGAGAGCGAGAGAGTGAGAGAGCGAGCGAGAGAGCGAGAGAGCGAGAGAGCGAGAGAGAGAGAGAGAGAGAGAGAGAGAGAGAGAGAGAGAGAGAGAGAGAGAGAGAGAGAGAGAGAGAGAGAGAGAGCGCACGGGCGAGAAGGGCGTCGGCCCCGTCTCGGCAGCCCCTTCCCACCGGCACCGGCGCCGGTGTACGCCCGCGACGACAGGCACGACGAGGCGCGCGCCGTCGTCAAGCGCATGTACCGCGCAGCAATGTCGCCCGGCGAGAGGAGCAACTTGGCCGAGCTGCGGAGAGACCACCTGCAGCCGCCCTCGCCCCGCGCGTCGCCCCGCGCCCGCCGCCCCGCCGCGCCGACGTCGCCGCCGACACCGTACGAGCTGCGGTACGGCAAGGCGTGGGGCGACGCCTCGGAGAGCTCGCGGCTGGTCGGGCCGGGCGGCGACAGCGGCGACGTCGCAAGCGACGGCGGCAGCGGCTGCGGCAGCTGCGGCAGCGAACGCGGCGGGCGTGAAGTGGCGGGCGGGCGCGGCATGCGCGGCGGCGCGAGATCCGCTCCTCTCGCTGAGCTGCGGAGGCGACACCTCGGCCTGCTGGCGTACGCGGTCGGCTTGTTCAGCTGCCTCGCCGGCACAACGGTGCTGATAGACAACTGGGGGCCGGGCGTGCTGCGTCGGCTCGTCGCCCCGAGCTCAAGCGAGCCGCCACGCAAGCAGGACTCCCCCGTGCTGCGGACCAGCGCGTCTCCTGACACCTCTCTCTCTCTCTCTCTCTCTGGCCAGGCGAGCTGCCGCACGAGCTCCTCCTCCTCTTCCCCATATCTCCCCATATCTCCCCATATCTCCCCATATCTCCCCAGGCGAGCTGCCGCACGAGCTCCTTCTCCTCCTCTCGGGCGGCGACCTCGCAGGCAGCCTGAACGTCTCGCACCGGTGGAATCTCCTCTCGCCACCCGTCGGCCCTGCTGCTACCCCGAGCTCCCACGCCAGGCATCCTCGTCTCCATTCTGGCCGTCGACCGCATCGGCCGGCGCGGCTGCTTCCGGATCGGATTCTTCCTGCAGGGCACGCTGCTCGCTGGTATGGCTGTGGCGCCACGCCACCCGCCGCTCCTCGCGGCGATCGGGTTCGTCGCGACGGGCTGCCGCTGCTTCGGGTGGGAGGCGGCTCAGATGTGGCGCGCCGAGATTGGCCGAGATTAACCGTGGGCGGGCATTCGAGGCGGGCATGTCGATGTGGAAACACCGCATCGGTCCGCCCACGCCCTTGCCTGCCGCGTAGCGCCCCCTGTCACAGTCTCTGACCGCGAGCAGGTGCGTCGAGGCCTTCCCCACGCCCATGCGTGCCACTGCGCTCGCCCTCTCCGTCACCGTGATGCGTTTGCTCTCCGTCGCCACGCTCACGCTCTCCGCGGCGGCCGGCCGCAACGCCGAGCCCGCGCTGGCGCGGCATTTTGTCGGCGAAGCTCGTCAGCGGCCACAAGGCGCCGTTCACACGTCTCGGTGTGTACAGGCACTGCTCACCATTGGCGGGCTGCTGTTCGTGGGTGGCTGCTTCGCCACGCTACTGCTGCCGCGTGAGACGGCAGGCGCACTCATGGCGGGGGATGGGTAGAAGCGCCCTGGTCTCGGCGCGTTGGGTGTGTGATGGGGAGAGGACGACGGTAAAGCGGACGACTTTTTCTCGTTTCCGATTCTGCCCCGGGTGCAGCGCCGGCCGGTGGGCCGGAGCGGCGAGGCAGCGCGGAGGGCCATGGGCCTCGACGTCGATGCACGAGGGCCACGAGGTGTAGGCGCTCCTCGAGAGGCGCTCTCGAGCATCGACCTGAGCAAGGTGCACATCGACATGTCATCATCACACATCAGCGACAACCTGGCGAGAACCCGCGATCCCTCCACCGCGCGTCGCCGAGCTCCTCCTGCGCAACGGCTACCGCCTGTGCAGTCGAGCGCGCACGACAACATCTGGCTGCGCAGCCATTTCCAACCCGCCATCACGCAGCACGGAGGCGAGTCACCGACCGCACGTCGAGCGGTTTTGAGGACAGCTGTGACTTAGGAGGCTGGTTAGCTGTCGAATACCTGAACCTGTTCTCACTCGCGCGAAAGAATTTTTCGCGCGGGCGCACACCCCTCCCTCCCTTGGGTTGTCTGTTTCTTTCTTTCTTTTACCTAGCAGGCTTCCAACTTTTTGCGGGGTATGGTATGGTACTCTCACGGCCCAAAGGGTGGGGGGGTATGGTCCTGACCGCCCATCCCCGGTCTCCTGGAGGCTGGGTCTGTCAGCAGGCGGGGGGGTATGGTCTCGAGGTGGGTTGCGTGAGATTACCATACCCCGCAAAACCTGTCAGCAGAGTCTCCTACGGGAATGTACGTAAGAGCTACATACACTCAAAAAGTCCGAACGGAAAAAGGGCAGAGCCGGCGAAAGAGAAAGAAACGCTGGGCAGAGCCGCGCGCATTCGCGCCTATGCACGTGCGGTTGCTACTCGCCTGCGCGTTGGTGCTCGAGCGCGCGGGATGTAGCAAGAGAACCGCCGGGGCTGCCCCTGCCAAGGTCGTAGCAGCGGCTAGACGCGGCGACGACGCGGCGGTACTGGCGTGGCTTGACGGCGGAGGGCGGGCTGATGCGACGTATGCGTACAATGACCAGATCGGCCGGAGCGAACTCTCCTTGCTGATGGCCGCCGCCAGCCGAGGCCACGAGCGGGTGGTGGAGGTGCTGCTGCAGCGCGGTGCGGAGATCGACATGCAGAGCAGCAAGTCACTTGAGGGCGTCACCGCACTGATGGCCGCCGCCAGCCAAGGCCACGAGCGAGTGGTCGACTTGCTTATCCAGCGCGGCGCGGATATCGACCTGCAGAGCCGCGTGGGCTACACCGCGCTGATAGTCGCAACCGGCTCGAATCATCCCGCGGTTGTGCAACGCCTGCTGCGGGCGGGAGCAGACACGACATTGTGCGGCGAGGACGGCAAGACGGCGCTGATGATCGCGAAGGAGATGGGCCAAACCGAGTGCGCGCGCGCTGTCGAGGAGCATGCGGGAACGAAGCTACCGCCGCCGCCGCCGCTGCAGCAGCCCCATTGGCCGCCGCCGGAGCACGTGGATGAAGTCAGACGCATATTGGAGGGTGCGCCTCAAAACACGATGGAGCTCGGCGAGCTTGAGCCTCGTCTGAGCTCGGCAGTGCGGGAGCAGGTCACGCTCGCGGGTGGGCTGAAGAGGTGGCTGCGGTCGATCCCGAAGAGCAGCAGGAGCTTTCGTCTGGTGAAGACGGCCCATACGGCGGCCGATGGGTCTCGCCTCGAGGTTGGAGATTGGATTTATAGCTTCGCACTGAGCTCGCCGTCGCTGTCGCCGCCGGACCCACCGACACAGCCGCAGACCCATCAGGCAGAGCACGCGGGAAATGGGGATGGGAAGGGCGCCGACACAGAGAGCTTGCTCCTTCCAGACATAATCGCTGAAGCGGCTGAGCGAGGCGACGAGGCGGCGGTGCTGGCGTGGGTCGACGGTGGCGGGCGTGGTTCGATAGTGCGGGCTTCACGCTGCTGCAGGTCGCCGCCAGCAATGGCCACGAGCGGGTGGTCGACCTGCTACTGTGGCGCGGCGCGGAGATCAACCTGCAGAGCAGCAAAGGCTACACCGCGCTGATGGACGCCGCCGGCAGCCGCCGCGAACGGGTGGTCGAGCTGCTACTGCGGCGCGGCGCGGAGATCGACATGCAGGACAGCAATGGCGGCACCGGCTGATGCACGCCGCCGGCCAAGGCCACGAGCGGGTGGTCGAGCTGCTGCTGCGGCGTGGCGCAGGGATCGACATGCAGACCAGCAATGGCGGCACCGCGCTGATGGCTGCCGCCAGCCAAGGCCACGAGCGAGTGGTCGACTTGCTTATCCAGGAGGAGTCGGCGAGTAGCGGGGACGAGAACAGAAATGCCGGAGAGGGTGGGGAGGGAGGCGTGAGGCGCAGGGTGAGGGGCGTGGGGGCGCGGGGCGCGGGGCGTGCGTGGGACGCGAGGCGTGAGGCGCAGGGCGTGGGGCGGGAGGGCGCGGGGCGCTCGAGTGAGGGCAGGGTGTGTTTTTTTGTGTGTATGTGTATGTGTGTGTGTATGTGTGTGTGTGTGTGTGTGTGTGTGTGTGTGTGTTGGTTTGTCTGTGCGAGGGCTGGGCAGGGCAGGGCAGGGCGGCGGCGAGCGGCGAGCGGCGTCGGCGAGATCGGCGACGAAGAGAGGCGATGGTGACGTACACGGCGGCAGTGTTCACGGCAGCAGCGCCCCCGCGCAGCGGCGGCGGCGCCCTGAGTGAGGCAGACTGCCCTGCACAGCCTGCTGGGCACGCTCCCGACGAGCGGCGCGCCATGCGGGCCCGCCGCGGGCGACGCGGGCTGCGAGCCGACACGCGTGTCGCAGGCGTAGACAGCACTGGCGAAGCGAGGCGGCCGGCGCCGGTCCCGGAGGCGGCTGCAGTAAGAGCTGCGAGGCAGAAGTCACTGTCCAAGGCGTACTGAGCGGGCTGCCATCGAGCAGCGCGCCATGCGGGCCTGCCGCCGGCGACGCGAGATTGGAGAGCCGACAGGCATCAATGAGGTAGGTACTGAGGAGGGCCATCGCGCCCGAGGCGGTCCGCGCCGGCCCTGCAGGCCGTCACAGAGAGCCTGGCGAGGCTGTACAGAATGCCGAGAGCATACTGAGCAGGCTGCCGTCGAGCGACGCGCCATGCTGGCTCGTCGCAGGCGATGGAGGTCGAGGAGCCGATCGGAGCGTCGCAGAGGCTGCCGACCACTGTGTCGTTCGCCCTCGGGCCCAGGGGTGGAAGGCAAGCTTCCTGGCGTTTCTGGCGAGCGTCCAGACGTCGCAGAGCATCCGGCAGGCGCGCAGCGACCCAAATTTTTGCTCACCGCACGGCCGTGTGAGCCGTCGGTCGGCGGTGAGAGATTTTTAGCACGTACCCGCGGCCGCGGGCGCTCGCTGCCATCAAGAATCACAAGGACTGGTTCGCGCACCACAGGAGCTCGTCAAGGCGCGGGATGTGCACGTCAAGAACAACCCGTCCCTCGGAGACAGCGCCGTCAACAACCGCGAAGCCTCGCGCTTCGTCTCCGCCTCAACGCCTTTCGCCGGCAAAGCCCTCGATGTCCGTGTCGACGGCACGTACGCCACCGCCCTCTCCTCCGACGCCCTCCAGGACGAGCTCCAGCGGAAGCTCGGCCTTTGGCTCTCCGTGGCGCTTCCCACCCTTCGGGTTGCGCTCGAGCGGGGCATGCCAGTCGATTTCTTCGGCGACTACCTTTACAACAAGGCCCACCACCGGCGGCCCCACGACGGCGTCCTCGCCGCCTGGGCGGACGCGATGCGCGCCCCGGCCAACGCGCCGGTCGTGCACGGTGACAAGGAGAAACCAGAGCTCACCCGGCAGTACAACGAGGGGTACAAGGTCGACCTCGCGGAACCCCACGCTGGCCCGGGAGGATGCGATGAGGTGAATGAAGTCAAGCTCTGGACGCCCCTCCTCAAGACCTCCTCGGCGGGCGTTGGCAACGCCTCGAGCGGCGGCACGCCCGCCTCCGTTGGCCACTCCTACGCCTTCGGCAACACCGAAGAGAAGGCCCGCCGCCTAAACATGGGCTGCAAGGCGCGCGGGCAACCCGGCCAACCCTTCGACCACAAGAACGGCCACGGCTACGTCAAGGCGCATCGCGGTTTCTACCACGACGCGATCTTTGTCAAGCGCAACAACTTCAACCTGCTGCTCCACGAGACGTTCGGCGGCGGCTTCTCGCCCACCGCCGTTCTCAAGCTGCGCCGCCTCGCGCGCAAAGCCGCGCGCGGCAGCGTCGACCGCACGGCCTACTCGCCCAAGTACTCGCTTTCTTTTATGTCCCACCATGCAGAGCGCATCTCTCTCTCTGTTGTGCGAGGCGTGAACCGCGCCATTCGCTCTCACCTGGCAACCCTGTCTGCACGTCTCGCGCGCACGTGAACAGGGCTCCAGGCCCCAAATGACGTGTGAGTGTTAGAGTTGTTTGGTATTGCAGTGATGGTCGGCGTCGGCGCGCGCCGACCAACGCGGCTGCTGTGGGCGTCATGTGGCGGGCGTGTCGGACTAGACATTGTCCGAATTCGGCGGTGTACGAGTACGTGATGATGATTGATGTGGATGATTCCACGCGATGTCTGAGTGGATACCTCGACTGGTGTTAGGCGTATTGTTGGTGATCTGCAGGTGACCTCTCCTGCTAGTGCTACCCACGCCTGCTGCTCACCTCGAGTCGTATTTCCTTTACGGCCTTCAGAGTGTCCGCCCTCTGACATGACACTCTAGCTTGCGGGACTTCATCTGGATTTCTCGGTCTGAGGCCAGAGGCAGCGCGCGAGTTCTTTACCAAGTTGCAACCCTTGTTCCGCACTCGGCTGTGAACGCTGCTGTTTGCCGCCGGTTGAGCAGCACCCCGTCCCCATCCAGGTTGTTGGTTGCTGCCCCAGGTCCCGCACTATGTAGGTGCACTGCTTCAGCAGCGTGCACCTACCTCGATCGACGATCCTGGTCGCTGGTGTCGGTTGCGCAACCTTTTTGCCGACCTCCGAGCCCAGATAGCGCGCCGTGTCTGATCCTCGTCGGCATCTGCTTCCGGGCCTGGCGGCCCGCCACAAGGACTTAGGTGAGAAGTGCCCGCCGAAACATCGGAACGACGCTGCTCCGCTCGACTTGGTTGGTTGCTGGCAGCACCCCAGCACCGGGGGGTCCTGAGAGCTGTTGGTTGGTGCTCTGTTCACAGCACAGTGCGGAACAAGGGTTGCAACCTGGTAAAGAACTCGCTCGCAGCTCGGCACCCAGCGGTCTCGACCGTTTAGGCGCCGCCGCCCTCCTCAGATGTGGAAGGAGGCGTCGCTGGAGGAGACGCAGCGCAGCCTGATCGCGATGAAGGCCATCGAGGAGCGACGAGCGCTGGTGCGAGTCAACGAGGCGGCAGACCGCTGCTTTGGCGAGTGCATCGACGACTTTGGGCTGACACGCCAGCTGCGCGCCGGCGAGGAGGAATGTGTGCGGAAGTGCACCCTCAAGTTCGTCGAGATGTCCGCGCTCGTGGGCCAGGTGTTTGGAGAGCAGAGCGGCTTGTGACGAGATAATAGCGCGAGACTTTAGCGCGGCTGTGGCCAGTGGGACCGGTTTCGGCCGGTTTGTGGTTTTTACTAGAACTGCTCGATCACACTGAAGACAATACGCGAGGTGTACGTGTGCCCGGACAAGACTAAGCTCGCGGCAATACGGGAATCGCGGCGCGCGGTGTCCGGCCACGCTCTGAGGCACACCGCTCACACGGGGCCGCGCGCGCGGTCTCGAGGCCCATGTCGCGGCGGCAATAAGACACCCTCTAAGGAGGAGGCGGGGAATAGAGCGCCGAACTTTCTTCAGAAGAGGCCCGACAGCATGTTGAGCAGGAAGACGAGCGTCATCGGGTTCATGTTTCGTGCGCCGGCAATGGCGTTCGCGGCGCTCCACGGCTGCCCGCCCGGTGCACCCATCTGGTAGATCAGGGTGCCCGCCATGGCAAGCTGCGCGGGTGGGGGCGGGTGCGTGAGTGCGGGGTGGGGGGGGGGGGGAGAGAGAGGGAGAGGGAGAGGGAGAGGGGGGGGGGAGGGAGGGAGAGGTAAAGGCAGAGGCAAAGGGAGAGGCGGAGGGAGAGGCAGAGGGAGAGGGAGAGGCGGAGGGAGCGGCGAGCGGCGGCGGCGGACTCTCCTGGAACAGGGAGCCAAGGCCCCACCGCGACGACGACGCGCGCGGCTCCGCGGCCGCCGGGTCGAGCACGGGCGCGTACTTTCGCTTCTCGAGCGCATCGTTCCACCCTTTGTCGTACGCTGCGAACTCTATGTCGCCGAAGCCGCCCTCGCCTGACCCCCGGGGAGGCGTCAGTGGGCGCGCACTGGGGCGCGCACTGGGAGACTGAGCTGCGGGCATGTGCAAGCAGCGGCCGCAGCGAGCCAGAGAGGGGCGAGGGCAGCGTCTTGGAAGTGTCTCTCGCCTCCTCCTCTGCCGGCGCCGGCGCCGCTCGGGCGGAGCACAAAGCGCCAGAGCATGTAGCCGCCAGCGAGGAGGAGGGCGGCCGCCTGCGCCTCGCTCACGCGCTGCCCGGTCGCCGCCTCGGCCGCCGCCGCCGCGCGCGAAACGCCTCGCCGCAGCCCATCCGCCACGCCTCTCGCGCCGCCGCCGCCGCGCGCGGACTGGTACACGAACGCGGCTGCGCCGCCGCCGCAGAGGACGAGCGGGAGTGGGAGGCCGAGAACGCGCGGCGCGACGTAGAGGAGGAGGAGCATCGCCACGCCGGCCTGCGCTGGCGAGACGCCCGGAGGCAGCATCGCTTGCAGCCGTGCCTTCGCCGCCTGCGCTGCCTGCGCGGCAGCGCCCGCCGGCATGCCACCGCCTCCAAAGCCAGGCATGCCGCCTCCAAAGCCGGGCATGCCACCACTACCGCCACCGCCGCCGCCGTCGGCCGAGCCGTCCGCGGTGAGATTGCTCGGCCTCAGCGCCATGGTCGGACCCGCATCGAGCCGGACTGTGTAGCGGCCCTTGTCCTCGTCGAAGCCGACCGCGATGCCGCGGCTGCCGTTGAGCTCGGGCTTGGAGGAGAGGCCGTCGACGATCACGCGGCGGCCGACCAGGGGCGCCATGTCGAGAACACCGCACCGCTCCCCGAGCCCGACCTACAAGCCCGCTCCGACCAGTGAACATCGTTTGAATTCTTTTTCCTTCGCGGCACGCGATGGCGGCAAGCCCTCGTGCACGCCCGCCCTCGACACGCCGAAGACCAACCGGCGACGGACCGCGGTGAGACCGCGCCGCCCTCCGCGCCCGCCCGCGCCCGCAGCGTGAACACATGCGCGCGTCCCTCTCCGCACGGAAACTTGCGCGCCAGCCGCGCAGCAGCCTCACATGCAGCGCGCATTGGCATGCTCGCCCCCTGGGCCGCCGACGGCCCGGTCGAGCGGGCTGCGCGGCCGCCGCACACCATCAGGCAGGCGCACGACCACCTGCAGCACGCCGCAGCCCACCGCGCAGCCCTCCCAGCCAAGGCTGCGCCTCACAGCTACACAAACAGGGCGCACAGCAGAGCACAGCGCATAGCACACGCCGACGCGCGCGCAGCACACGCAGACTCACGCGCGAATCCAACACGCACACGCGCACAGCACGCGCGCATCGCACGCCAGCGCAGCGCTGCACACAGAGCACACTGGACCATACCAGTGGTACTGGTACCATCGCCTCTGAGAGGCACCACCCCTCGGGGAGGGGGCGCGTCCGCCCAGCGGCCAGCGCCCCTCCGCCCAGCGAGCGTACCCGCAGCGCCCGGGGAGCGAGCGTCCGCCCTGCGGCCAGCCCGCTCTCCCCGCACGGCGTCGACCGCCCCCAAAGCGAGACAGGATGCACCCGCATAGTTAGCCGCTACGGCTCTATACGGGGGCATCCTCTCCCCCATCCGCATGTGAGGAACTGCGTACTACACTGCGTCACCCTCCCCAGCATCAGTGGGTTGCCTTTTGGGGTCTGAGCCCAACGGAGAAAAAAGAAAAGTGACCAAAATCGGCCCTGGATGTGCGGTTAATGACTGCACTCCAAGTGCTCCAAGTGCTCCAAATCGAAATCAGAAACCACGCGAGATCCACGTCTCCCGCCCCTCGGCTCTCGCGCGAGCCACGATCTCCTGCCCGATGTCCGAAAACGGAAGGCACGAATAGCCGGACACAGGAACGGCACAGCTCAACGGCAGAAATCCCACACACACATCCACTCACCTCTCGCACGAACAGTCGAACAGGTTCCCAGAGCCGGACGCAGGAACGGCACTGGCCAAAACACACCCACACCTGACGCACGAACAGGTACGAACAGCCGGACGAAGGAACGGCAGCCGTCACACACCCAGCCGGGGCAAGACAGAAGGCCGCCGAGGGGAAAGGGAGTTCGCAACTAAACGGCCGAAGCGGGTATCTCTCCAGTTCACGCCCGCCGACCCCGATGCACCTTATTACCCGAACCCCCTACCTGCAAGCCCACCGAGAGGGGTAGGGGTCAGCCTTGTTCAATTAAACACGAGTTCCACCGTAGCGCCGCATAACTCTAAGCGCGCGTGTGAGCGAGGGCAGAAATGCAACGCTCACGCGGTCCCGGGCTCGGTCCTCCCACATTCTCTAAATGATGAGTCTCGCTCTCCCTTATACAATAAGCTATAAGGGGCCTCTGCGAAATAAAAAGCGGAGGCCTCAGTGGGAGCGAACTCTGACGGAGAGGGAGGTTCCCCGTGTTTGTTTGACCAGTGAACAAGCCCGCCCTGTTGAGTATATGAGCGACCCAGTCGAGGGTTGCTCTCGACTCTGGCCTTTTCGGGTCACGTAGCCACACCTCGCCTCCTCGGTGCGAGTGGCTGCCAGTTCGACTCTGGGGAGGATCGAACCATTAACATGGTACCTCCTGACCCAGCGAGACGCGAGAAAAGATCCGACTAAACAGGCGGCGGCATTTTGACCGCGCAAGATGTAAAGGGTGGCTAAGGGCTCTGCCCGCAAGGCGCCCGCGTCGCAGACGCGGTACCATTGACAAATCTGCAATATACCCCCACACGAACAAATAGCAAAATCCAAATACCGTGCAGAAACTGCGTGATGTGCGCCGGGCAAGCCTTCAGCTGGTGCCAAGACATTCGTAAAATTGAAGCCACGAACGTCCGCCAAATCCGTGCTAGGGAAAGCTGATCGAGCCCAGCGTGCCCGCGGCCGCCTCCCGCGCAGCACCGCCGCTGGGGACGACACGCTGCGGAATCGGATCGAGCCCATGCACGGGCAAAGAAGGACGCTGCAGAAGCGGTTGGAGAGGCAGCCGGCGTCTGCCGTCACAACGAGTCCCAGCGCTGGTTGGACATGCGCGTCGGCTCGCCCGAGGACTGCTGTCGCGACCCTCCCGTTGTGAGCTTGTGACGCAGCCTCCGACGAGCTCTGCAACCGAGGAGAGTGAGGGTGCGCCTCCCCTCACTGCTGGCCTGGCTGCGCACCGCCTCACAAAGCACCCCCTCGAGCATCTCTACAAGTACAAGTACAAGGGCGACCTTCCTCCAAGTCGTCAACCACGCCCGGCGGCTCCGGCAAGACTTTAGCCTTGGCCACCCTCCTTGCGGAGCAGGAGGAGATCCGCTCTCGGTCAGCAACATGGCAGCTAGTCGAGAGACTCGGTAGTTGTGACCCCCCTCTGTGCTCTGAGTGAGGACAGGAGAGAGAGAGGTGAGAGAGAGAGAGCTTTTGTGGTGTTGGTGTACGCAATAACGGGACAGGGTAGTCGTTCTCTCTAGCTCCCCTTCTAGCTCTTAGCATGAGCTGCGCCCTGTGTCCGACCCCTTTTGCGCAGCAACACCTTAAACTTTCAGGCCCTCCAAATTCGGGTCGGAGCGTAGCGGAGTGGGCCCCGAGTTTGAAAAGGGCGACGGACGCTTGCGTCCTAGCCTCCAACAACGCCTCCCCGGCGCAGAGGGGCCCCCGGAGGGATGCTCAACCGCTCCACGCCACGCCGCTTGCGGCGGTCCTCTTCCCAGCTCGCTGATTGCGCGTGCCTCATAAGAAACTTTGATCCGCATACGGGTATGCAGTGTCGGCTCTCGCATAGCCGGCTGTCCTCTCTCTCGACGCGGCGCCGGCTCTCTACGCTCTCGCGCGTCGCCGTCGACGACACCACTGCAATGATCGTCGGGCGGCCGTACTGGCGCTACCCACTCGCTGTCGCCAAGCCGGAGCCCTCGATGCGCCCGCTGATAGAGGCGAGCCCCTTCGGCAGCCGAGGTCACTCCCTAAAGCAGCGCGCACTGATAGATGCGAGTCCCCTTCCCTAGGCTATAGCCGCGCTCCCGGCGAGCGCCCGCCCGTTCCGCATGGTGTCTCACGAGTCGGAGGACGGCCGCGTCTTCAACTCAACCTTCTTCGAGGACGACAGTGCCGCGACCGCCTTCCTCGCGTGGTACAACGACCACGCTCTCACCGGAGGTGGGCAGTTCCACTCGTGCCTCGCCGGCGCCATTGCCGAGGGAGAGGAGCTGCCGACGGGCGAGACGCTCCTGTTTGGCCGCGGGAGCGGAGTGCTCGACGACACGCGCTTTGGGGAGTACCAGCTCGGGATGTCGGTGCGGTACTCGGTCGCCACGTTTCGGTCCGCTGCGATGGAGGAGGAGGCGCGCGCAGTCGGCACAAGCGCTGCATTCGAGCGAAGGATCGCCGAGGCGATGACGGGCAGCGGCATCTCGTACTTTGGCCGGCTGGTGATGAAGGCGGCGCCCGCGGAGCCGGGAGGGCCGCCGCGCTGGATCACGGCCTCGCGATACGGCTCGCGGCAGGAGGCGACGGCCGGCACCGCGCTGGTGCGGCGGCTGTGCGAGGACGAGATGGCGCGGTGGTTCACCTCGTACGACACCATCATCGGGACAGCGTCCCGCGTCCTCGACCAGTAGGGTCGCGTTCGCCCGCGGGCGGGCGGGGCTGCGGGCTGGGCGCGGCACGGCCGCTCGCATCGGATGTCACGGCTCGCACCGAGGCGCATAAAGCCGTAGCGCCAACAAGCGCGCGTTGCGCAACACCTGGCCGCCCCTGTTGGCAGGTAAGAGTTTTTTGTATCCGGGACGAATATTAGCCAATTAGAGTCGATGCATGCTATGAGAGAGATATGGTTTATGCATGAAAAGACACACGCCGCAAAAACAGAAAAAATCCGCTCATCTCACATCCTGAGTCACAACCACGCCGCTCGCCGCTCGCGGAGACGTGAGAAACTGCACTGGGATCTTAGACACTAGAGATACTCTTAGACGTAGAGAGTAGAGTGACCTAGTGTGTGCGTCGGTGAGAGTGTGGAGAGGAACGAAAGGCTTCCCCCAAAGGTATATACTATAGCCATCCTATGCGAGATATATACTACGATCGAGAGGTGACTTCTGCCGACTCAGCCCCTCCTGAAAGCCTGTGTGGAGGCGCATCTTCCAATACATGCGCCATGCATTCCTAGTCGACGATACCCGCCGCTCGCGCCGCCTCCGAGAGCACCGCTGCGGAGCTCGCGCCGCCACCGTCCACCTCGCCATCGCCGCCGCCGCCCTCGCCGCCGCCGCCGCCGCCCCCCTCGCCCTCCGCCGCCACCGCCTCCTCCGCCGCATGTCCAGCGGCGGCAGCAGCGGCCGCCCCCTCCTCCGGCGGCATTCCGATGTCCGGAGCCTCCTCCCGCTCCTCTCCCTCCGCCTCCGCCTCCGCCTCCGCCTCCGCCTGCGCCTGCGCCTGCGCCTGCGCCTGCGCCTCCGCCTGCGCCTCCTCCGCCTCGTCTTCGGCGTCGTGCGCGATCGTCGCGATTGTTGCAATCGGCAGCTCGGCGGCGGCGGCGGAGCCATGCGGCGGCGGGCTCGCCCGTGCGGCGCGGGTGGGCGGCAAAGCGGCGCTGCTTGCGCGCAGCGTCGCGCAGAGGTCGCCCATGGTTGTGGCGGCGGCGGCGTGGTACTCCCTCTGCGCCTCTGCCACGGAGAGGAGCTGCGCTGCGAGCGTGGTCTGCGCCTGATGCCGGGCACGCCACGGAGCCGGTGGGCTCGCTCTCTCCACGCCCCCATCTCCACGCCCCCTCCGCCCACCGTGTGCGCGTGCTCGGGCGGGTGTCGCACTCCTTTGTTGGTGCGGGGGCGTGGCGGGATGTGTGTCGGGGGGGGGGGGGGGGCCGGGGGGGGGAGGCCCGGCCCCCCATGCTCGAACTCGTCGAGGGGGGAGAGGACCCCCTGGCCGGCCCAAGAATGAGAGTCCGGCTCCAACTGAAAAGACAGGACGAGCTCAGGCCGGGGCGAGAATGAGGGAGGAGCACCTCGCCGAGCATCTCCTGGTCGCGCCTACAGCTCCGCGGGGCAGAGTGTGAAGAGGCGGCCTCTCGCCTAGGAGGCGCCGGCCCCGTCGCTTCCGTCGCCCGAGCTGTGCGAGCAGCGCCTCGAGTTGGCCCGCCTGGCCGGCGAGCGTGCCCGAGAACTTCTTGTCGAGCTCGTCCACCTTGGCCGCCGAGAAGTCGATCGCCTGCGGGGGGCGGCTCCACGAAAGGTCGAGGGAGGGGCCAGCGCAGAGGCGGAGAGGGCGCCGACAGCTCGATCGCCTGCTCGAGCTTGGCCGCCAGCGGCTTGAGCGGCGTCGGCAGCGCGGACATGATCCCTCCAAGTGTGCCTGCAGGAGGGCGCCAGGACAGGTCTGCAGGACAGGACGGGGAAGGGGCGCGGGCCGTGACTCCGGCGAGGGCGCCGCTCCCGCCCTCGCCGCCCTCGCCGCCGCCCTCGCCGCCGCCCTCCGCCTGTGAACTCGGCGTGGCGGCGGCGCCGGCGCCGGCGGCCGCGCCGGCCCCAGCAGCGGCGGCCGGCGAGTCGATGGCGAGCTGCAGCGCCGACACCCAGCGGCGCGTGGCCATCGACCCGTCGGTCGCGAGCATGACGGGCGGCAGCTCGGGCTGTCGCGGCACCAGCTCAAAGGCGGCCGGCTTCGCGGCGATCGCCTCCTGCAGCTCGTGCGCGAGGACGTACCTGACAGTTCCTAGAAGCTTCCTAGACAATTCCAGAAGGCCTCCTGCGGCTCGTGCGCGAGGACGTACCTGACAGGATGGCGCAGAGGAGGCTTAGGCGCATCTCAGCGCATCTCGGCGCATCTCGGCGGCACCTGGAAAGCGCCACCGCCTTTGCCGGCGCGGTGAGGTAGCCAGCGAGTCTGTCGGACCTATGGTTAGGGTCAGGGTTGGGGGTAGGGTCAGGGTCAGGGCCAGGATTGATTTAGGTTTAGAGGGTGCGGGTGCGGGTGCGGGTGCGGGTGCGGGTGCGGGTGCGGGTGCGGGTGCGGGTGAGGGTGCGGGTGAGGGTGCGGGTGAGGGTGAGGTGTCCTCTCGGCGCCTCCCGGCTAACTTGGCCTTCTAGGAACTGTCTCGGAAGCTTCTAGGAGATGCCACTTGCTCGAGGTGAAGAGGAGGATCTGCCGCTTTGCGTCGAGGCGTGCGTAGCAAGGCCACCACACGCCCGTCGTGCTCGAGAGGCGGAACAGCTGCGGGGCGGGGCGACGGGGCCTCGGGCGGCCATGCGACACGCGTGGGTGGGGAGGGAGAGACGGAGACGGAGACAGGGAGAGAGGGAGAGGGAGAGAGGGAGAGAGAGGGGGAGAGGGAGAGGGAGAGGGGGGAGGGAGGAAGGTCGAGGAGAGGGAGAGGGAGAGGGAGAAGGAGAACATGGGCCGCACCGGCCCCTCCATCTCCGTCTCGAAGGCTTCGCCCGCGCGCGACGCGGGCGGGACGAGGGACCGCTCGAGGCTGCGCAGGTCGGCGCGCTCCTTTTGCGTCACCATCAGCTGTAGCTGCGCGCGGCGGCGGCGGAGCTCCACTGTCTTGTTGCAGTACGCCTTGTACTTGTTCGAGACGACCAGGCTCAGGCCGCGCAGCTGGCCGACCGTGCCGTTGAGGAAGCGGTCGAGCGCCTCCGAGAGGTGTTGCGCCTGCGCCTCCAGCGCCGGCTGCGGCTCGGCGTACGTTTGCATCGAGGGTGCCATCGGCTCGCCTCCATCGGCGCGGCGCGGTGGCGCCAGCGCATCGGCGCTTGCGCTGGTGAGGCTGGCGAGGTTGGAGTGGGCGTCTCTCGTTTCCGCCGCGGCGTCGCGCATCCGCTCGATCTGGCTGCCCAGCCTCGACAGCTGCTCCACCGCCGCCGCGAACGCCGCAACGCGAGGGCCGATGGCCTCGTCCGTCTCGACGTACTCATCGTTCAACAGGCTACTGAGCCGCTCAATGACGAGGCGTGGATCGATATAGGCCTCGTCGTGGCTCGGCGCTGCTGGCACTGGCGCTGGCATGGCGGTTGGGCTAGCTGGCAGTCTACCGGCCCAGCACCAGCTTGATGCCGGTGCTGTTGAGGGGAAAAGAATTTAAGCTGGTTTGCATCCCTCGCACGTTTTTCTTTTTATTTCTTCTTTCCCGCAATTTCAGCGAAACAGAGGGGGATGAGCGCGTCTCGCTGGCCATCTCGTGCAGAGCCACTGCAGCGAATGCTCCGCCTGGCTTGAGATGAGCCTCTCGCCCCGATTGACGCGCGGCGGCACCTCCAGCTTGTCTTCCATCGCCGAGTACGAGCTGGCGTGCGAGGCGCCTTCAGCGGCCGATTTCTTCCCTCTCCCGATACCGTCGCCCAACCGCAAGTCGCCGACCGCTTTGAGCGCCGGCCCTCCACTTCTCTGGCAGTCGGCGCCAGGCCTGTGCCTTTTGGTGCTATTGATCGCGTACTGGTTGTGGTACGCGTGCCACCGATGAATGTATACTTCGCCCAGGCAATCCTGTCGGTGCCCCACAGCGCCGCTGCCGAGGGTTTGCTCCAATAGGTTTTTTGTCGGCATGTGCTTCCACAGTGCCATCGTGCATACGCTTTCCCTTGTGCGTACGCAGTTTTCCCTTGTGCGTACGCAGTTTTCCCTTGTGCGTGCGAAGTCTTGTGTTCGAGATAGAATTCAGCAGTAGCTGGCGAGCGCGCGCTTGGATGCGGGTGCGTCGCTGCCAGAGAGAGCGCGCCAGTGAGACCGAGAGTCCCCAGGCCCAGCTACGCACTCACAGCATGTCCGAGCGAGACGTGGCCGCTTGCATCGATCCGTACGCGCGGCTACGGCTATCTAAGCACACGCGACTGAAAACGAGAGCGCCAGGGAGTGGGCCAGCGCCAGGCGCTCGACACCTTGTGCAAGCAGTAGTCGGAGCATGCTCGAGCTTGAGCCAGCAGCGTGCGTGAGCCAGCAGCGTGAGCGTGAGCCAGCGTGAGCGTAAGCCAGTGAGCGTGAGCCAGCGTGAGCCCAGCACGTCTGAGCCGAGGTGTTCTCGGGTGTGAATTTTGTTTCAACAATAAGGCTGTCTTAAAGATAAGGGTCGTCGTGTGCGTGATCTGGGGAGTTCGCTTCGGTAAAAATCGCCGGATTTTTTTTGCGCGTTGCGCCGAGCTTTGCGCTTTAGCCGCCTGCAACGCGCCGCCGCGACACGAGCTAGCGAGCGCGGCATGGCCTTCCTCGGCGCCTGGGCGGAGCACGTGTGGACGAGGATGCGGCGGCTAGACTACTGGAATACCGAGCACGCCATCGCAAACACGCCCGCCAAGCTGTATCGCCGCGTCTCTCCCGGCTCGCAACCAGCAGCGCTTGTGCAGGTGCCCCGCTGCCGCGCCCGCCGCGCCCGCCGCCCGCTGACCGGGCCCTCGCCGCGCGCGGACGACGAGCACACGCCGCGGCCAGATTGCGCAAGCTCACGCCTCTGACGTGCACGCGCAGCGCAAGGAGGCCAGCTCCGTGTACTCTATTCGGTACTACAACAAGGACCTGAAGCGGCGCGACACGGGCTACTACCCGGACACGCCGCTCACCCTCAACCACACCATCATGCAGGGCCAACCCGTCAGGCGACTTGCCGCCGCTGCCCACCATGCCGCAGCGCCGCAGCGCCACGCACCCTCCCCGCTCGAAGCCCCCCCCACCCCCACCCCACCCACCCACCCCACCCACCCGCCACTCCCTCAGCTCGTCCGCCCCCGCGGCCGCCACAAGCCCCGTGCCAACCGACCCCGACCCTGCCCCCCCCACACACACACTTCCCTCCCTCCCCCCAACTCCTTCCCCCAAATCTGCCGCCCGCCTTCCCCCTCAGCCCCCACCGCCCTCTCCCTCCCCGCAGGCCGAGCGACGCGCCCGCCTCCCAGGTACCAAAGGTTGGCGCCTTTGGCTCTGCCACCTACGCTGGCCCCGAGATCATGGGCATCAAGACGCCGAACGCCAGCTGAGAGAGGCGGCGAGGAGGCTAGACGAGCACGCCGGCTCGCGCCAACCTCTCCCACAGAGGCGCTGCGCGAGGCTTTTGGGTCGATCGGAATAATGAGATGGACCGCGACGGTCGCCCCTCGCGCTTGCGGACGCTCAACCGACAACGCCTAGGACAACGCTCTCTCGGCGCTCTCGGTCTCGCTGCCTAGTATCTCTGCTCTCCCTGATATGCCCGACGAGGGCCCAGCTCGCCCTCGCGCGAGTCGGGACCCGCCCTGTCTTTCGTGGACCCGTCACATCCAATACAGGGTACGAAAAACGGGTGAATCAGGCAGCCCCTCCCACGCGGGAGCTGGACTCTTTCTCTCACCCCGCCCCTTCGGGCGCCGAGAGGGATGGCAAACGAGAGCATGGAGGCGCGTGGCGACACAGGCACGCAGCATACCTATTTCGCGGCGGCGGCCTTGTCGACCAGCTCAAACTCGTGCTTGCACTCCGTGTACCCCATCCCAATCCCAACGCCCGCGCCCAGGCCTGCCACAGCTGACCGCGCAGCCACTCCACCTGCATAAAGGCGCCACAAGCAGAGGGTGAGTGCGGCGCGGCGGCGGCACGACCCGCGGGCTCCGCGCGGGCGGCGGCGCGCACGGAACAGGATGACCGCGATCAGCCCGCCGCCGAGCGTGCCGTACGCGAGTTTCCGAATCGTGTTTTCTATGCACGAGTCCCACGTCTCGGCAACCTGTGCGCAGTGGTGAGAAAAGGTGGGATCGCGCGGCGCGGCAGCGGGCGGCGGCGGCGGCGGCAGGCGCCTTGAGCTCGGGGAGCCCGGTTTTCGCCGTCGCCATTAGCTCTCTCAGGGCCGAGGGAGCAAGACTCGGCGTGGTGGCAAAAGAATTTCCCGGTGAGGACGTAAAACATGAACCAGAGGGAAAGCGCCCGTCGCGGGCGCCGATGGAGGCGTTCGCGACGAGGACGTTGGCGGCGCGCAGGAGGGTCACAACGGGTGCGAGAAGCGCGAGAGGTTCCTCTTTTCCGCGCGCGACACACAGGGTGGGCGATTCTTGGTCGCCTTTCCGATGCCCGTGGTGGAGCTGAGGAACGTGCGATGTGCGGAAACGCCGTCTGTGCTTGTACGCATGTCTTCAACGTCCACTCTCACGGCTCCAGCTGCAACAGGGCGGCTACGAGTAGGACGTGTACGCGCATTCACGACTCGCTGCGACCAGCTGCTCGCCTCGCTCCTACTCGAGGTCGTCGGAGGCATGGGCGCCATCTGGGGCTGTGCGGAGCTCTCCTGCGTGCGAAGCTATTCAAATGGCGATGCATGGCGTGCCATTTGTGGCGTGGCTGGTCTCTTCTTTTTGGCGCGTTGGGTCTGCGTTCATGCCCTGCGGATTGCTGCTTCACGAGAGGCCGAGGCCGTCTCGCTCTTCATCCTCCAGTTTTTGGGCGGCGCGAGTGCCTGGTGGGGGTTTTCCGACTTTGCAGGTCTACGAACTGACTACCCCGCCGACTGCCATGACGTTGAAAAGTACGGCGGCAGTGGTGACGCGCGTTGGACGCCGGGCTACGATGAATGCCGCAACAGCATGCTCCGCTGGCGCATCATATCTGGTGCGTGGCTCCCCTGGTTCTTCATCTGGTGGCACCGTGAGCAGTTCCTGGCGCTGCGCGCCTCGCTCCACCTCTCGGTCGGCGGTGACAACACGGCGCGGTATGCTCGCGCCGCCGTTTGGTGCGGGTTCTAGATGCATAGGACCAGTCCCTGCAAAGACGTGGGCCTGCATCTAGACGGGATTACGAATGCGTGGCCACGACGAGAGACTGATCATTGTTGCGCTTATAGGTGCGCGACCACGTTTGTCCTGGAAGTGATGGGCGGCGCAGCCTCGCTCTGGAGCGCCGGCGAGATGGCGGGCCCTGCTGGACGCTCACTGCGGCGCGGCTGGGGCGACCACCACTTTGGACAGCCCAGCTCTGAGATATGGCGCTGTCTGTGCCTTGCAGTCTTTGTGCTCTGCTTTGTGCGGTGGCTGGTCAACGCCCACACGCTGCATAGAAGGTGGCGGGATGGACTGCCCTCCAACTTCTTGGCTACGCAGCCATCGGGCGAGGCAGACCTCATGTTCTCGATGCGCCTGCCGAATGTGGAAGGCGCCGTTTGTGCCAAAGTGCCGGGAGACGGAGACAAACCAGCGTCACCCATTCGACATGAGGACGACACGCGTTCTTCGGTCGGATGCTCCTCCGCCGGAACCGTAACCACTCAGCGCACGCAGCCACACGGCCCTTGTGGAGAAGGATAGCGCGCAGCGGCACTTATAGCCTCTGGCAAGCTCTGGAAGCGTGCCTCAACCCTCACCACGTCCGTTCTCGTCGGAGGTCCAAGTGAGAAGATGAACTGAGGGAGCGCAGAGGGGTAACTAGGAGCGAAACGGTGTGGCAGGGCGGTGCTTGTGCGATTGGATTTCTGTACGCGTTAGTTTTAGAGAGATAAAGTGCACGCTGCACGGCCGGGGCTCGCCAGCGGTCGCCATGGGGCTCGCCGCTCGCGAGTCGCGTGCGGGGGTACTTCTCTGACGTATGGTTAGAGCATGAGAGTACACACAAGGACCCAAACTCGTTTTTCAAGCGGGCGCGTTGAATCTTGAAAAAGACTGCGGGTCGCAGACTGCGGGTCGCAAACCGTTAGCTAAAACCTCGTGTGTCACAGCATGTCGATCAACTCGATGACTCCCTCGGTAAATTCTATCGCGAGCCGTTCGAAGAAGCCAGGGCGCGGCGCCCGGTAGCGCGAGGCGGGCACGGGGAGGGCCGCCGCCCGCCTCGCGCCCCCGAGCCGCAGCCTGGCCGCCGCCCGATCGCGCAGCCTCGGTCGCGGTGGGCCGCGCTCCAGCAGACGAAAGTAGTCGCGCATCTCCAGCTCGACTTCGTTTGAGCCTCTCATCACCGGTTGCCCCGCCGATATCTCCGAGCCCTCGCCGCGCTGATTGAGATTGACCGCCAACCCTCCGCTTGGGGTGGGCACCAGCGTCCAGGTCGGCGGCGGTCGCCGCTTCGGTCGAGGCGGCCGAGGTGGAGCTTTGCGGCACAGAGGGCACCTGAGCGTATGGTCTGCGCGCGCACACTTCTCCACACAGCTGTAGCAAAAGATGTGCCCACAATCGGCGGGCCAGTAGGTTGGCCGCTCAAGTGGCTCCAGGCAGATTGCACACTCCTGTGGCAACGCGTCTTCGTGCGCCTGCTCCTCCTGCTCCTCCTGCTCCTCCTCCTCCTCCTCCTCCTCCGTCTCCCGTTTCTCCTCCACTTCAGTCGCAGCATCCTGCCGCCGTGCTAGCGCCGCCTGGAGCAGCGTCGCCTCCTCCTGCGCAAAGAGCTCTGCCAAATGCTCCTCTTCTTGCCGCAGCTGGCGCTGCGAGGCCAGCAACAGCCCGCCGTGCTTGCTACTCCGCTCATCATCTGGTAGCAGAGCAGCGGGAGCCGAGCGGCGGCGGATGAGGTGAGGGACGCGACTCGACACGCTGTGCTCACCGACGGACGCCCTGCGAGCCGCGGCAGCGCTGTGCGCACCGACGGGAGGCGGCATTTTGCCGAGCCGCCGACGAGGGAGGGCAAGGACTTCAGCTGTTTTTTCTGCGCGAATATCCGCCGGAAAGAAAAGAAAGACGTTTCCAAGCTGCGTTTTCAAAAATCTCAAACAAATCTAGATATATCTCTAAGATCGGTCCGCGAGTGCTCCGCAGCAACCTCGCTGAGCCAGAACGTCGGCTCGCGAGGTGGGGTGCTAGTTCCTAGTATGAGCCCGACCCAGGTCGTAGTGTTCTTGCTCCCAGCGCTTGCGCTTCGGCGGTTAGTGGTGCACTAACCTCCGAGAAACCCATCGGGTCGCTCCTCATCGCAAACCCTGTCAGCAGTCCCTCCTCCGGGATCGGGAATGTACGTAAGAGCTACATACACTGAAAATCTCTCTCCCCCCCACAGCGCACACAGGCGCATTTTGTATATGCATTTTGAGGACTTCCGCTGTGTTTAAAACTATTGGACATGCTCCAAGTGCCCGCAAGTAAGTCGAACTCAGACCGCGAGAGATGGATATAGTGGGACGCCCCACAAAGACAAACACATGCGAGAAGAATTCAACAAGTCTACATGGAAGAAAACACGCTTCGCACGAACATTCTACATCTCCTCGTCTCGCACACACGTGCCGTCCACCGAGAAGGGGCTGAACTGCGGCAGGAAACGGTCCATCAGCGCCCAAGCCCCGCTGCCGCCACTCCCCGCGGCCCACCCGACGCACCTCAGCCCAGCGCAGCACGGCTCGGCCTCGAACCACCTCGGGACGACGCAGGCGGCGCCGCGGCCGAGGCCTCGGACCACGGAGAAGGACGCGCCCGGCTTGGTCACGGAGAAGCCGCGACTCGAGTACGCGGGCGTGTCTGCGGCCGGGTCTGGGCACCACTCGCTCCTCTGCGAGAGGAGGAGCTCGAAGAAGGCTTCGCCCAGATCCATGGAGAGCTGCTTCCCCGGGCAGTAGCGGTCCATTGCGCCGCCCGCGACGGTCGGGTCGGCTGCAGCGTCGGCGAAGGCGACCGAGTACTCCTTGTATGAAGCTAGAGGCCGGCGGAGAGAGAACTGATGCGCGTCGGGGCCTACAGTGAGGTCGCGCAAGCTGAGCCTCCCCCATCGAGCAACGCGCGTGGCTCGCCGAGGGTGGCGGCGACCCCATGCGTTCGGGTCGCGCAGCGCCATCCGCAAGTTGAGGTAGGTGTGCGCCGCTGGAGACGGGTAGTCCGGGTACCGCGTGTCGTTGGCCGGCGGCACGTTGTCGCCGCTCCAGAAGGGGAAGGTGCCGACGGGCGGCAAGAAGCGCAGCGTCTCCATAAAGTAGAGCAGCGGGCTCACCCCGGCAGGGACGGTCTGCGGAAAAGTCTCGTCCCACCGCGAGGTGTCCGCCAGCAGCACCCAGAGGCCGTTAGAGAGGGCGGTGGGGATCGAGAGACCTGTCGAGCGAGCGGTGGGCGGGACGGAGGGCGGTGGGCTCACTCGCTGGCGGTGGGCTCACTCGCTGACGACCCGCGCTGGCTGGGCTGGGGCGACGGCCGCACCGCCAGCGAGAAGAATGGTGTCGATGATGGCGGAGGTGAGCTGATCGACGCAGTCGGAGGGCGAGCAGTCGCCCTCTGCGAGCTCGGCGCCGTAGATCTCCTCCACCATCGGCCGGTAGGCGTCCGAGAGCTGCTGGTGCCACCACACGCCGCTGAGCATGTCGGGCAGGAGGGCGAGGAGGCGCTCCCGGATCGAGACCGGGAGGTAGATGAGGAAGGTCGCCTGAACGAGGAAGAGGAGCTGCACAAACTGCATCTGGGCGGCGGAGAAGGGGTTCTCCTTCCCGGGGAAAGTGCGCTCAAATAGCGCGATGTGCGTGTACTCGAAGTAGTCCGCGCCGCCGAGGGAGGTCTTGCCGGCGAGCCACTGCGTGGCATGCGCCCTGATGGCGGCGGAGCGCGCCGCCTGGCACTGTGAGTGCGCTGGACAGTGCCGTGACCAGCCGTAGAGCCGGTCGAGGATCGGGCGCAGCACCCTGTGCTGCTCGGGCTTGGCGCCGAGCAGAATCGACGCCGGCGCGATGCCCGTCCAAAAGTCGCGAACCAGGATGTGACTTCCAAGCTCGTTGCCCCTCCAGATAGACCCGTTGTGTGTCCCCGACGGCAGATCCCTCAGCTTCCGCCGCACCACCGCGTTGGACATGAAGGCAGTCGTCGCGGCGTCGGGCGTATGCTCCGCGACTTCGCACCCTGAGTAGGAGCCGTCGGGCTGCCGCTCCCAGCCGGTGCTGCTGTTGGTGCCACTGCAAAACGTGCGCAGCTGCCCATCCGCGTCCTTGGCCATGGTTCCGGTCAACCAGGACGGCTCCAAGTCGAGCCGCAGCTCCTGCTCCTCCACGCACTGGAGGCACAGCTGCATAGGCGCGGGCCCGGCACTCGCAGCGGCGGAAGCAGCGGCGGCGAGGCATTGCGGAGCGCATGCCTGGTCAGAGAGCGCCGCCATTGCCGTGGATAGTGCGCTGTCGATTGCAGCGGAGTGGTGGTCGAACCCATCCATCGCAGCTTCCCAGACAAGGTCGCTCAGGCGGCTCGTCTCGAGGTCGTCGGCAGCGGGCACGACATTTAGCGGCAGAGCCCTTGCCCTTGCGATAGCGAGTAGGTACAGGGTGCGCATCGAGCTCTGGCGGCCGGTCAAACCCATGGAAGGCTGGGTTCCACCTTAGACTGTTTCAGTCGGAGAGCGCCGAAATTCAGAAAGAATTTTACAAGCATGCTCCCTCGCACGACACTGGGCAAATTGGCGGCGTGCCGTTCTCCCATCCCTCCCTTGGGTTGTGGGTTTTCTTTCTTTCTTTCTTTTACACTGGGCAAATTGAAATCCCTGTGTGGTGTGGCGACGTGCCGTGGTCCTCCCATCCCTCCCTTGGCTTGTCTGGTTTCTTTCTTTCTTTTACACTGCTTCACTGGGCAAATTTCCCAAAACGCTCCCAGAAACAAAAGCTCCACACGAGACGCCGGGCGGCGGGCACTGGTCTCGCGACTGGCAACGGCGCATGTGCGGAAGGCGAGAACGACTGTGAGGTGCGCGACTCCCACGCCCCCCCACGGGAAAAAGAGAGAAAAACGAGCCGCGACGCGCGAGAGTATAAATGTGTCGGATCAAATCACATTGATATACCCTGTCCGGCGGTGGGGCCCGCGCTAAAACACAAAATTCCTAAGGACCGCCCGATGTTTCCGCAGGAAGTGTGCGCGCTTTGGCTTTGCCGCTGGGCAGGCCACGCGCCGCAAAGTCGAGGATGTGCACGCCCGTCATGTCGAGGAGCACGAGCCAGCGCCAGTTGGCAGCGGTCTGCAGCGGCGCCCCCCTCTCCGTCCGAATCAGTTCGAGCGGGGGCGTGCCGCGCTGGCTCGAGAGGCGCCGCAGCTCGGAGCTCGCAAGCGATGCGCGAAGCAGCGCTCCTTTGCGAAGAGCGGCGCCCGCCCCGTCCTCCTCGCCGCCGCCCCCGCCGCCCTCCTCCTCCTCCTCCTCCTCCTCCTCCCCATCACCACCGCCGTGCTCGCGGTCCAGCCTCCAAGTCTCTAGCACGACCCGCTCCCCATCGTTGCCCCATGTCGGTAACGGCCGCTCCAGCAGCAGCCACGGCGTCGGCTCCGCCCCACCCCCGTGCCACAGCAGCCGGAGGTCGGCGCAGGAGCACGCTGCCCTGCAGCCCACCGTGGTGTAGTAGTCGGGCTGCGCTCCATACGAGCTGCGGCCGAGGATGCGCCTTCCAGAGTCGAGCTCGAGCAGCGCGGGCCTCTCCCGCCCTTCCTGGTAGGTAGAGAAGCCTTCGCGGGCGAGGTGCTGGTACGGGAGGAAGACTGACCGGTGCCGGTCGAAGGGCGGCCAGTCGACGCGCGGCACCGGCGCCTGCGACGTCCAGAGGGCCTGCTGCGGGTAGGAGAGGTCGAGCACCTGCGGGAGGGGAAGGGGGGGGGGTACGGAGGGAGGGCTAAGGAGGGAGGGGTACGGAGGGAGGGCTAAGGAGGGAGGGGCACGGAGGGAGGGCTAAGGAGGGAGGGGTACGGAGGGAGGGCTAAGGAGGGAGGGGTACGGAGGGAGGGCTAAGGAGGGAGGGTTCGGTGCGGAGAACGACGAGTGGACTTTGACTGAGGCCGGCTGGCCGACGACCTGCAGGAGGGAAGCCTCCGCCGGAGGAGCGGCGTGCAGGGCCTTCTCCGGCCAAGCAGCCTCCTGCTGCGGTGGCTGCGACGCCGCCGCCTGCGCGCGCAGCCCCTCGGCGGACTGGGAGCAGGTCACGCTCCAGACCTCGAGGAAGGCGCCTCGGTGGCCGAGGCCGGGCGGGACGGGCAGCTCGAGCAGCACGAGCCACGAGGTCGGCGAGCGGCGCTGGAGAGACGCGTACGGCACGCCCTTCTCGACGGCGAGGCTGTACCTACCCGGGCACGTCCATGACATGTCCGGGACATGTCCGCGTTCGGTGTGCCCTTCTCGGCGAGGCGGTACGCGTCGCGGCTCGAGAAGGTGCGCCGCGACGCTCGAGTCGCCCTCCTCCCCCTCGCGAGGTGCAGGCTCGCACCTGTTCACAGCTGGAGGTGTGAAGAGACGCTGTTCACACCTCCCCCCCCTCGCGAGGTGCAGGCTCGCACCTGTTCACAGCTGGAGGTGTGAAGAGACGCTGTTCACACCTCCTCCCCCTCGCGAGGTGCAGGCTCGCACGGCCGAGCGGGAGGAGGGTGAGGAGCTCGAGGAGCAGCAGCTCGTGCGCCTGCAGGAAGGCTCCGGGAGAGGGGTCTCGGAAGGGTCTCGGAAGGGTCTCGGAAGGGTCTCGGAGGGGTCTCGGAAGGGGCTCGGAAGGGGCAGCTAGCTCGGGGGAGGAGCAGCGTGCGCCGAGCCGCCCGATCCCGCGTGCACCTCCGCCACCACGCCGCCCTGCTCCGACATGGCGCCTGTTCACAGCTAGAGGTGTGAAGAGACGCTGTTCACACCTCCGCCACCACACCGCCCTGCTCCGACATGGCGCCCACTCGCGCGCGCAGCAGCTGCGGCGGCGCAACCGCAAGCTCCGCCTCCCCGGCCGCCTCTCGGGAGCCGCCTGCCTCTGCGGCCGCCTCGCCGGGCCGCGGCAGCGGTGGGAGGAGCCATAGCATCGAGAGGCACCTGTTCACAGCTAGAGGTGTGAAGAGACGCTGTTCACAGGCAGCGGTGGGAGGAGCCACAGTATCGAGAGGCACTCGGTCAGGTCCTGCTCCGTCGGCGAGGTCTTCTCGAGCACCGCCACGCTCATCAGCCGGAGAGGGCCGCCGCACCCCGGCCCGCCGCACCTCGGCCCGCCGCCGGGCTCGCCTCCGCCGGCCCTTCCTCCGCCCTGCCTGCTCCCGCCGCCCTGCCTGCTCCCGCCGCCCTGCCTGCTCCCGCCTCGCGAGGCTTCCGGCCCGAGCCGCTCGGCCGAGTAGAGGCAGAGCGAGGCGACGACGCACTCCGTCCGCCACTGCGGCATGTTGAAGTAGGTTCCTGGAAAGGTGAGCGGTGGCAGCTGCGGCAGAGCGTCCGCCAGCCCTCCCAGCAGGGCGGAGTGGTCGAGCCGGTGCAGCAGCTGGCCAGAAGAGAGGCAGCGGACCAGCAGCGTGCCACTCCCCGAGGCGAGGCTGCCCACGCAGCCGCCGACCGCGTCCACCATCGCCGCGCTCACCACGCACAGGTCCTCGCGCCCGTTCTCCACAAAGCCTTGCGGGAGGGCGTGCGGCCGCCGCCACCGCCGCCGGCTCGCCCGCAGGTCGTAGAGCGTGAGGAAGCCGCCGAACTCTCCGAGCGCGAGCCACGGGCCGTCGATGGCGAGCGAGGCGACGTAGAAGGGCGAGGCGGTGGGCGAGTGGCCCATCTCGTACGGGAGCTTGCGGTAGGTCGCCTGCCCCGCCACCCGGTTGGAGGCTGCTTGGCGGCGGTGGGCGCAGCGCACTTGCCACTCGTCGCCGCCGGGTGGGTCCACGAGCGGGTCCTGCGACGGCGCCCACCGCCGAGCGTGCTCTCCGTGCATTGTCGCAAAAACCTCGCGCCAAATCCCCGGAATGGAGGCGGCGGCACGCCACGAGGTGCACACACTGCGCACGCGGCAGAGGCCGACGTCGGTGAGGCGGCCAAAGATCTCGGCGAGGCAGCCGGCGTCGAGCACGTCAGCCGGGGAGCCCTCGTTGAGGGTGGCGGCGGTCCGCGCCATTCTTGTGAGATTTGCGTCGCTCTCCACCATTTTTTTTGCCTGTTTCTCGTGTTTGGCCGCGTTGGGAGAGAGAGAGAGAGATTTTTAGCAATACCAAACAACTCTAACACTCACACGTTGCGTTGGGTAGCGAGGATTGGTGTGACGCGATCCACGCAGGCGTGTTTTCTGACGGCCGACCGTCAGTGCACGGAGTTGCCCCTTCTCCGACTGCCCCAGCCGGCTAGTTCCTGCGCAGAGTGGGGGCCCTGCGGCTTGCACGCGCCGCGGGCCGATTGCGGGCAGGAGGAGGGGGAGATGGCCATGCCCCCTCCTTTGATGATGTCCCTTGGGGACCAGAACTATTAAGAAAACAAAATACGCGAAACCCCCACCCCCCACCCAATTCTCCGACGTAGCCAGCCCTCTTGTGGCTTCGTTCGACGCACACGCTACTTCAGCCACAGAGAGTCCTGGACATGTCTATCAGAACTTCCTTGGGGGTGGGAGTCGCTAAACATATTCCCCGGGGCGGTCACCGCTGCCGCCCCCGGGGCGGTCGCCGCTGCCGCCCCCACAGGGCGATTTCAGCAAGTTTCATTATGAGAGTCGCCAGTTCGAACTATGAGTTGTCGATTCGACTCTCGGGGCCGCAGCCGTTGCTGCCCCCGTCCCCCCCTCGGGTTCGTCAGGCGCCCGCCGTTCAAGTTTCGGGCGCTCATGCCTAAGTGAGAGGGTGTGAACGGGACTATGCCCCTCCCTGAGAACGAGCAGAGTTCACGAGTTTCGCGGGAGTGACCCCATGAGCGGCCGCACACTGCTCGGTACCCCCCCTGCACATCTAAAGTCATGGCCGACCCCCCCCCCCAGCAGCAGCGCTCTGCTGCTGGGGGGGTCGGGACCCCCCCCCCAGCAGCAGCGCTCTGCTGCTAGGGGGTGCTGGCATCTCTGTACCGACAGCTGTAAGTAAGTACGGTTAGCGTTCCAGTCGTCGGCGAGGTGCTGGATATTAAATGGCTTGAGGGCGAGCCGCATGGCTTCCACCACGTCGCTGCCCGCCATTGCGGCGACGCGTCGCGGCGGACCTGACAGTTTTGCCGCGCGACGGGCCGCGCGCGCGTTTCAAAAGAAAAGTCGTTAAGCTCAGTCGATCGATTTCGTGAGCGAGCGATCCGAGGATCGAGCGGGGGACCGATAGGCTAGAGAGATCAACGCTGATCGATCAACGTCAGCCGAGACGCCCGAGTGAGTGGCTCACTAACACGGCTGTTAGTGTGGTAGTACAAGATAGACTCACATGGTCACAAGTCTTTAGTAAAACGCCAGCACTCGACACGACGAGGGTGTTTTGGGTTTGAAGGCCCGGCAAACAGAGCGTCTTCGAGCTTTCTGTTAAAACTAAAGTCAAGTTCAGAGGGGGGGGCGCCGGCTAATAGGTGGGACCCGGAAAACCTGGGTCCAATGCCTTCGCCCGCTGGGGGGGTGGGGCCCCCCCCCCCCAGCAGCAGCGTTCTGTTGCTGGGGGGGTCGGGACCCCCCCCCCCAGCAGCAGCGCTCTGCTGCTGGGGGGGTCAGACCCCCCCCCCTAGCAGCAGGGATGACTTTAGATGTGCAGGGGGGGTACCGAGCAATGTGCGGCCGCTCCATGGGAGAGAGAGATTTTTAGCAATACCAAACAACTCTAACACTCACACATGGGTCATCCGTCAAACCCGAGACCTAGCGCGGGTTCTAACTTTTTGCGTGGTCGTCTGCGCACGGTCTGCACGGTCAGAGTCATACCTGGCGTGGTCTGACAGAAGCGAGAAGGTGGGGTGTGTGGTCTCGCCGAGGGTTGCTACCCACCCTGCCCCATGCGCTACCCACATATAGAGCTGTCAAACGTTAAGAGCTGAACAGTGTTGCTAGTGTTAACAGTAACAACAGAACAACAGTTGGGCTCCCAACAACAGTAGCTAACGTTACTCGTTAGGCCAGCTTGAGCACTTGAGCACTGGGGATAGGGTCGATTCCGCATGGTACGGGACCCCTCGATCGTCTCGCCCTCCCTCACTGGTGTGTTCATTGAGGGGGTCATAACAAACACGGTACAGGATCGAGGTGCACGCTGCCAGAGCAGTGTCGTCCCCCCTCTCCCCGACGGCGATGGCGGTGTGACCGATCGAGCTACAAGAGGAGCTTGTTCAGCAGGATCCGGGACAGGTCTGGTGCACTACCTCACTGGGCCTGAGATCACCGTACGACGCCTCCCATCACCGTCTCGGGTTTGTGTGGGGTCGAACCACTCCGGGATGAGCAAGCTCATCGTTTTGTTCTGTGTTGTGTCCCTCCTCTGCGGGGGGGGGGGGGGGGGGGTTAATTGTCAAAATTCCTGTTGTGCAAGAGGGGAGAGGGCTCTGACGGAGTGCGTGGCGGGAGAGGGCCAGCTGAACAACAACAAGGAAGGCCTACCAGTGACCCACGACGATCTCCAGCGTCCAGTGCGGGTAATACCCGAAAAGACCTGAAAAACCCCGCGGGTGTATTTTCGGGTTTTACCCGGGTTTTTTGGCATTTCCTGCTTGCTGACCACACTGAACTCTACTACAGCAAAATCGCGCTCTACATCGCTCTACATCGGACTCACATCGTCACGCGCCGGATGTAGAGCTCTACAGCTCTACAGCGCTCCAGAGCGCTCTACATCTCTACAGCTCTACGAGCTCCTACAGCGCTCTACACTCTACATCCTCTAGACACCCTCCCTCAGCCTCACGCCTCGCGCAGCACGCAAAAGCTGAAAAGAAACCTCGCCGAAAAGAAGACGAAACCCGCCGCGGGTGGGAAGCGGACGACCTGCCGTTGGATCCACGACTCACACTCTCCAGACACGCACCTCGAATTAGCCGCTACTTCCGCAGTACCTTCCCGCGGGCTGAAGGATGGGGTACGGGTTGGCGAGGAGGAGCTTGCGGGCGAGCCAGCCAGGCGGCGTCGCCAGCACAGCAAGCTCGTCCTCGGCGCAAGCTCGCCGCGCCGCCCACCGGACGAACCAGCCGCCGGCGGCGCACGTGTCGACGGCCGAGCAGTCGCGCACGCCATCGGCCTCGCGCAGGCGGACGCGGGTCCCGCACCCCGACGCGCGCCACTCCTCGGCGGCGGCGTGGTCGTCGAGTGGCGGCGCGCCGGCGATGCGCGTGTACACGAGCTCAAAGCTCTCGTTGCGCTCTCTCATCGCCTCGAGCATCATCCGCACCTCGAGCGTCGGCAGCGTGTACCGCGTAAACGGCCGGCCGTGGGCGCCGTTGGACCGTTGCACCATAATGTAGCCGATACCGAGGCCGGTGAGCCCGCCGCCGACGCCCATGTTCTTGCCACGCAGGTTGCGAGCGCGCGCGCCCTGGTGCGTGAATAGCCTCCCCTCGTGGCCAACCGAGTGCAGCGTGTGGCGCACGAGCGGCTCCGGCTCGAACTCGAGCGTCTCGCCCGGGTAGATGGCGTTGAGGAAGCGAGAGGTCGAGCGCTCGACGCGCACTACGCCGCCCGCCAGGTCGCGCAGCGGGCCGAGCGCGCCGTCGGCCGGGCTGCGATGCGCCAGCCAGCGCTGGATGAGTCCGGTTGGGAGGAAGGCGTGGCTGGAGCCGCCGTGCTGCTTGATGTGCGAGAACATCGTGCAGCCACCCACGTCGATCAGCCCGAGCATGGGCATGCCGAACGCGTAGAAGGCCGCGCCGCCGATCAGCGCCCACGCGAGTGTGCGTCGGGCACGCGGCGGCAGCGGCGGCAGCGGCGGCAGCGGCGGCGGCGCCGGCAGCACCGGCGGCGCCGCCCTTGCCTTGTTGGAAGTGGGAGGCGGCGCGTCGTCATCGAGGACGAGGGTGCGGAGCGTGAGCGCCGCGAGCGCGCTGTAGGCGAGGTTGGCGACGACGCGCTCGCATGAGCCGTGCACCGCGCACACGGTCGCGGTCACGCCCACGACGAGCGCCGCGCCGAGGGCGACGCCGCGCGACGCCTCGCCGCCGTGCAAGCTCAAAGCCGCCTCCACCTCTGCCACGGCGCGCACGCTCGCGTGCGGAGTGACCCAGAAGAGGCGCGAGGCGGACAGGGCGCCAAAGTCTGCGATGGAGAGGGGAAGCGGCGCGGCCATGATCCCCAGGTGCAGCGCGAGCGCGAGCGCCACGCCGAGGCGCCACGCCGTCCGCGATGGGCTGAGCAGCAGAATCGGAATGCCGCACTCGACGATGAGCGTAATGTGCGGTGCGGTGGTGGCGACGAGCAAGACGAGCGATTTGGCGAGGAGCGGCTCGGGCAGCCAGCCGCAGAGAATCTGCACGAGCATGAGCGACGAGCACGACAGCCGCGGATCCGAGTGGTCCACATTCGCCTTCCACAGCCCGCTCGCCGCGTAAAATATTGCCATCTGGATTCGAATCACGTGCGAGATGAAGGCGATGTCGCCGCTCACGAGGAGGAGCGCGAGAATGACGGCCGCGTCCGTGTTCATCGCCCACCAGTCCATGTCGACGACTGCAGGCAGATGCCATGCGATGGTGCACCAGTTCGTCACGGCGGAGCCGATGAGCGTGGCCTTTGATGGCCGCACGAGAGCGGCGAGGACGAACGGCGCCTGTAGCGCAATGAAAAGCGTCGGCTCCGGTGGCGACGTGAAGCGGCACAGCTGGTAGAAGGCGTGCACGCGCGCGTAGGCACGCCAAGGGCAGGGCCCCGGGCGTGGGCATCTACCCCCCAGAGCAAAAACCCGGCGCGGAGGGCAAAAAGAATTTTCGCTGCCTCCTCGTTTTACAACAAAACTCCAACTCCATCCCTGCTTCTTTTTTATTTTTCTTTACAACAAAACTCCCGGAATTCAGTAAAAAGAATTTCGCAAGAACAAGAAAACGATTTGGCTTCTAGCGTAGCATCCGCGACGCCGACTTCGACACGAAGCCTCGGCAGACCGGGCAAGCCGTGTTGATCGGCTCCATGCCGCAGCTCGTCTCGACCTCGCTGTCGTCGTTGAGCCAAGTGTGCAGGCAGCGGTA